ACTCACATCCCATGGTCCCTAAGCAGTCACGGCAACGAACCCCCATACAGTAACAGCTACGAACCCCTATACAGTCACAGCTACGAGCCCCCATACAGTCACACCTACGAGCCCCCATACAGTCACAGCTACGAACCCCCCTCAATTGCAGACCCACAGGCGATAAACCCACTGATCCCCAAAAATTCACAGCAGGACACATGAAACCCCCCCACACGAACCGGCGGCTGCTGCAGGGAGACATGTATTGCAAGCTCAATGGCTGGCCGCCAGCCGTGGCGACCACACACATAGAGGCACAATGCACCACTTGCACACACACCCCCCTCCTCCCCCCTCTCTCCGCAGCACCTCTTCCCCCCAACCCCCCCCTTACCCAAGCTTTCCCCACCCGCCAACACAGGCTAACCTGGGCCTGCTGCAGCGCGACATGTGTCACGAGCTCATTGGCCGCCATGGCGTCCACATCCACAGCCTTGGCAGCTGCCTCCCTGCCTGGATACGCCTTCAGCAGCACCCGCGTGCCCAAGCGCTCCCCTGGGGTCACCATGCGTCCCCGATACATTCTGATGACAGCAAATGGGAGAGGAGGGGAGGGAAGGGGAGGGGAGAGACGGAGAGGGGAGGGGAGGGGGAGAAAGAGGGGCGTTACATCCATGGCCTTGGCGGCTGCCTCCCTGCCTGGATACGCCTTCAGCAGCACCCGCGGGCCTAGCCGCTCCCCCGAGGTCACCATGCGCCCCCGATACATTCTGACGGCAGAATGCAATGGGGTGGAATGGGATCACTATGCGGCGGCGGTACATTCTGGGAGCAAAAGTTGCGAGGGGAAAAGGGAGAAAAGGGAGAAAAAGGGGCCCTGGAGGCTGTCAGAGGAGGACTCTGGCGGTCAGAGTTATATGGGGTGATGCGGGTGATATGGGGTGATGTGGGTGATATGGGTGATACGGGGTGATATGGGGTGATGGGGGGTGATATGGGGTGATACGGGGTGATACGGGGTGATGCCGATAATATTGGGTGATATGGTGATATGGTGATATTGGGTGATATGGGTGATATGGTGATATTGGGTGATATGGGTGACATGGTGGTATTGGGTGATATGATATTGGGTGATATGGTGATATTGGGTGATATGGGTGATGTGATATTGGGTGATATGGGGAGAGAGGAGGCCTCTGGCGGTCAGAGTCCATTTAAACACTCCGAACTACATAGAACGGTTTCCCTAATTTCACCAGGCCTGATCCTGACCTGATACTGACCTGATACTGACCTGATACTGACCTGATACTGACCTGATACTGACCTGATACTGACCTGATACTGACCTGATACTGACCTGATACTGACCTGATCCTGACCTGATACTGACCTGATACTGACCTGATCCTGACCTGATACTGACCTGATCCTGACCTGATACTGACCTGATACTGACCTGATACTGACCTGATCCTGACCTGATACTGACCTGATACTGACCTGATACTGACCTGATCCTGACCTGATCCTGACCTGATCCTGACCTGATCCTGACCTGATACTGACCTGATACTGACCTGATCCTGACCTGATACTGACCTGATCCTGACCTGATACTGACCTGATCCTGACCTGATCCTGACCTGATACTGACCTGATACTGACCTGATCCTGACCTGATACTGACCTGATCTGACCTGATCCTGACCTGATACTGACCTGATACTGACCTGATACTGACCTGATCCTGACCTGATCTGACCTGATCCTGACCTGATACTGACCTGATCCTGACCTGATACTGACCTGATCCTGACCTGATACTGACCTGATCCTGACCTGATACTGACCTGATACTGACCTGATCCTGACCTGATCCTGACCTGATACTGACCTGATCTGACCTGATCCTGACCTGATACTGACCTGATCCTGACCTGATCCTGACCTGATACTGACCTGATCCTGACCTGATACTGACCTGATCCTGACCTGATCTGACCTGATACTGACCTGATTACTGATCCTGACCTGATCCTGACCTGATACTGACCTGATACTGACCTGATACTGACCTGATACTGACCTGATCCTGACCTGATACTGACCTGATCTGACCTGATCCTGACCTGATACTGACCTGATCCTGACCTGATACTGACCTGATACTGACCTGATACTGACCTGATCCTGACCTGATACTGACCTGATACTGACCTGATCCTGACCTGATACTGACCTGATCCTGACCTGATACTGACCTGATACTGACCTGATCCTGACCTGATCCTGACCTGATACTGACCTGATACTGACCTGATCCTGACCTGATACTGACCTGATCCTGACCTGATACTGACCTGATCCTGACCTGATACTGACCTGATCTGACCTGATACTGACCTGATCCTGACCTGATACTGACCTGATCCTGACCTGATCCTGACCTGATACTGACCTGATCCTGACCTGATCCTGACCTGATACTGACCTGATCTGACCTGATCCTGACCTGATCCTGACCTGATACTGACCTGATACTGACCTGATCCTGACCTGATACTGACCTGATACTGACCTGATCCTGACCTGATACTGACCTGATCTGACCTGATACTGACCTGATACTGACCTGATACTGACCTGATCCTGACCTGATACTGACTGATCCTGACCTGATCCTGACCTGATACTGACCTGATCCTGACCTGATACTGACCTGATACTGACCTGATCCTGACCTGATCCTGACCTGATCCTGACCTGATCCTGACCTGATCCTGACCTGATCCTGACCTGATCCTGACCTGATACTGACCTGATACTGACCTGATCCTGACCTGATACTGACCTGATCCTGACCTGATCCTGACCTGATACTGACCTGATCCTGACGTTATCCTGACCTGATCCTGACCTGATACTGACCTGATACTGACCTGATCCTGACCTGATCCTGACCTGATCCTGACCTGATCCTGACCTGATCCTGACCTGATCCTGACCTGATACTGACCTGATACTGACCTGATCCTGACCTGATACTGACCTGATCCTGACCTGATCCTGACCTGATACTGACCTGATCCTGACGTTATCCTGACCTGATCCTTACTTGATCCTGACCTGACCCTTACCTGATCTGCACGCCTCCCCGGCCGACCTCCTGCCCGCCTCCCGCCAGCCTGTTGATATCCCTCTCGCTCAGCCCTGCTGCCGTGTCCTCGCGGGAGCCCGGCCACGTCAGCGATGACAGTGCTGACGTGGATGAGGACGACCCTGGCGGCATGGAGTAGCTGGAAGGGAGGGGATGCGGGTCGAGAGATGCGCGGGGAGAGCTGAGTAGGGGAAGGGGAATTGTGCACGTACATAGATAGGAGAGGAATATGTAGACAGTGAAGGCGAATGTAGATAGGAGAGGAATATGGCTCAGAGAAAAGGGTGATGTGAAGCTGACACGACATTCCGTGACCTGTTCTTCAGTTCGTTCACTGCTGAAACCTGCCGAACTGTTGAGGTCATCAAGGGAGACGTAGATATGGATAGTTACAGAGCTTACGGCGTGTATCAAGTGTAAGAAAAACGACGTCACCTGACGTCGCAACGCAGTACAGTACGGTTCTTTTTTAATCTAGAAGCTTCGTGTGCGTTCGGAGGCGGTTACTCGACGTCACAAGGTTGACGTCGTGCCATTCAGCTACGTGATACACCCCCTTAGCTAAATAACCGTAGTTCTCCACCGAAATAGGGCTAAAACTCGCCTAGATAGCAGTAGATCTGCTCATCTGGCGACGAGAGGTCACCTGAGTAGCTGCAGAGCTCACCTGGACACGCTCATGAAGTCGAGGGTGCCAAGCAGCCGCTCCACTGAGAAATCGTCAGCCGAAAATTGCACTATAGGGTCCACGGATTCCGCTCGCACTCCGATTGCTCCACTACCTCCCCTACCGCCGCTAGTTCCGCTGATTCTCCTTCCTGAATACTCGGGGTCGCCTAATTCCACCACCGCACGACCTGGTTCACTGACTCCTTGAGAAAAATTATTCCCATGCCTGCTCAGAAATGCGCTCGTGAGGCGGAGAGAGCGTCGATGAATGGGGACCGATGTTGCGTGTGATGTGGCGTGCTGGCTGGCAATGTCGTCCCCGCAGGGTCGCCGTGACACGCGGATGCGGTTCGAGACCGAAGGCTGGAGCGTCAGAGCTGGTGAAAGAGCCATCTGGTGGTGAGAAACTACACTGCTGGTTTACTGTCAGTCGTTCGAGACTTGACCGCAACAGGTCGAGCACTGATGAAGTAAACGAAGGAAACTAGGGTGTGAAAGACGGCGGGATTCCCTTGGCTCTTCATGCATAGTAAATCCGGAATTCAGAACTCTTCAGAATAATGGCCAATGACGGATAAAAGGATTCTGTGAAATGGCGAAGTGAAAGAGAAGGCAAATTGGGAAATGTGGAATTGGGAGGTTGTCAGTGTGCAGGCGAATTCGCCTTGGGAACTCCGACTGGGCCAAGACAAGCTGCACGCCAAATGCCAGTCTGGGAGTGATCGGGCAGATCCACGCACCGGACCCTTATTCGCTGGTTCGGCGCATCTGAGATTCAGCCACGCAAGCAGGCAAGGGGAACTCTCTCCAGACCAGAGCTATTCATCCTTTCACAGTAACAACACCAAGTCGAAATTCGCCTGCACAAAACAATATGTTACGTCCATAGGAACTTTTCCTAAAGTAGAGAATCACTCGTTGGTGAGTATGGCGTACAGTTTCGTTGACTCGCTGTGACTCGGCAATTTCCAGCACTCACCGAATCGTTAGAGTCACCAAGCTTCCACAGCCGTCCGATTCAGCTTCTCTTTCAAAACATGTCGTGTTGCGTGCGCCATACGCCGGTTGTAGATCGAAGCGCGGAATGACAGTTATCACTGTAGAGAGTGAGTGAGGGAGCGAAGGTGCTCAGACGGGATGCAAGCATAAAGGTGCAAAGCAAACCTGCCGAAATGCAGCTTCTGTTGTCGCCGCACACACACCAGCAGCAGAACAAAGCACCATGCAAGTGGCTCAACGCACTACAGTTTGATACATTATACCCACGACCTCATCCACGTCAATCAAAATAGAACGCGCGCCGACCGCAACCAACCACCCACGCATCGATCGAGAGTCGAGACTAGTTCAGCTTAGACCCTTCGCGGTACGGTGTCCGCTCCATAAACTGTTGTCGATGTGCGCGCTAGGTGCGTTCGAGCTCTAGACGACACTAGTCAGTACGTCTAAGCCAAGCAACGAGGCTCGGCAGTACCAGTCAGTGCCTGCCAGCTGTCCTCACGAGTCACGCAGCCTTGGGTCTTTCAGAGGCCCGTGTCGCTCAGAAGCCCCGTGCGCTCAGGCCTGCGATTCTAACGCGATCGAAATCATTGACTGTAACGTTATGACTTTTGAGTCGACTCAAATGTAACGTTACCTGAGATGTGAACGTGCAATTCCGCTGCGCCCCTCTGGTAACCTCGTTTTGACCCAGTGGGTAGCGAGGCGTTATATTTACAACATCGAAATCACCGATATCCTCTTTTTTTTCTTTTTCTTTTTTTCCACGGGACCGCCGTTACACGCAGATCGCCCCGTGCGTTAGGTCGCCCCGGTCCTCAGCGTCACTACGTCACGGACTAGGTCCCGCTTGTTCTGAGAAATTATCGACAGTTCGCATAGCTCCGCCAATCTCGCGGCAATGGCGGTTCTGCGGAAGACTAGTATTTCCCTTCTCCCCCGCGTTTCTCTCGCCGCACCCGTCGCGCTGTTGCTGCTACTCTCTTCCGCGCTGACAGCCTCTGCACAGCCTTGGCGGAAGCCTTCCGCCAACGGGCAGGCGGGAGCCACGCGCGCGGCCGTTACTATCCACAAGCTGGCGGAGCGGCTGCTGTACGCGGGCACGGGGAAGCTTGCGCCTTTGCGGAGAGGCGCAGGCGCTGCTGCGGCGGAAATTTCTCACTCCGCCGAGTCCGCCGACAGCATTGGTGTCGCGAAAAATGCTGCATCTGCGGAGTCCGCGGATCCCCTAGCGTGGCCTTCGGACCTTCCGCGTGACGCTACCCCGCAGGCCACCCGCGGGATCGACTCGCCGCGCGCGAATCATCACAACACGGCCGCAGCGGGCGGCGGTTTAGCGACTGGCGCGCGGCGCAGGATGCCGCGGAATCCCGCCGTGCGGCGGATATGGGCGGAGAAATGGCGCAAGGAGGGGGCAGGGCAGCAACAGGGGGAGGTCAGCAAGCAGCAGGCAAACGAGCGCAACAGGACAAGATCGGCAGCGGCGGCGGCAGCGGCGGAGGCGGAGTTAAAGAGGGTGGTAGTGAGGAAAGCGGCGGTGGGGTTTCCTGGGATCAACCAGAAGACGCTCGTTACGAGCGGCTCACCGCCCAAATACAACCGAAGCATGGTGAGTGCTGCCGCCCAAATACGACAGAAGCATGGTGAGTGCTGCCGCCCAAACACAGCAGAATCCCTTTTGAGGCGTCCCAATAGTCGCCCTTCCCCACTTCCGCTTCCCACCTCTCCCTCTTGCCCCTCTCACGCTCACCCCCTCTCTCCCCATACGCGCTGCCTGTGGCCATATGCGCGTGGGGGAAGGGCGTCCTTTGAGGCGCCTCAAGCACCCCTCGTCTCCTTCTCTCCGTCCTCACCTCCCTCCCTCCCACCTTCTCCCCCCCCCCCCTCCTCCAACCCCCCCACCCCCACGCCTGCAGATCCGAGTGACACCACCGGATGTGGTCATGTGTGTGGGGAACGGATTCATCCTCCATACAGTCAACTCCGGTACGCGTCCTTCGTGTTTTCATCCTTGCCTAATGTATCCCCCTCCCCCTCCTCCCCCTCCTCCCCCTTCTCCCCCCTCCCCCGATTGCTTCCCCAACCTTAACCCAAATCCCCCCCCATTCGCCCCCTATCCAGTTTTGAGGCGCCTCAAAACGAGACCTAAACCAAATCCCCCCCCATTCATCTATCCTCCCCTTCTTCTCCCCTTGTTTCCCCACCAGCCATGGTAGTGTATAACACCAAGGGGCGGCAGCTGACTGCAATCACTCCGCATCACGAGGTGGGGGGGGGGGGGGGGGGGGGGGGGGAGGGGGAAAAGGGGGGAAAGGGAGGGGGGAGGGGGGAAAGGGGGGGAAAGGGGAGTGGGGGGGGAGGAGGGAGAGTGTGAGGGGATAAGGGGAAACAGTGGGCAGCACACGTCACCAAGGGGCGGCAACCGACTGCCATCACTCTGCAGCGGGGGGGAAGGAAGGGGGCGGAGAGAGTGTGTGTGGGGGGGTGGTGAATAGGTGAGTCCGGAGGAAATTAACGTGTGCTATCAGCTGTGACAAGGGTGGGTTCCTTGGAGCGCTTTCACCTCCCCCATAACACAACCCCCCTCTGCCTATTCCCCCCTTGCCAATCCCCCCCGCCCATTCCCCCCCTGCCCAACCCCCCGTGCTTTGCCCCCCCATGCCTACTCCCCATTCTTTTCCAAGCTACAGTGGAGTCATTTTTGAGAATGAATCCCCGTGGAATTCTCAAAAACAACCCCCCGTGCTTTGCCCCCCCATGCCTACTCCCCATCCTCCCCCAAGCCCCCTCCCCGCCCCAACACCCCCCCCCACCCCCTCCCCCCCACACGGCCGCCCCCCCCAAACCCCCCACCCCCCCCCCGCCCCTCCCCAGTTCTTCAACGCACTGCCATACATGACGTGGAAGGGTCCATTGAGGCGTCCATCAGGGGCGACAGCATCGGCGACATGACGTGCGTGTATGACCGCAGGGCCAAGCGCTTCTACCTCGCCACATACTGGACTGTGAGTGCTGCTGGGTGCTGTGTGGTGTTGCTGGGTGCAGTGGAGTGGCAAGTGCTGAGAGTTGGGACAAGACCAGAGACATGACACGCGTCTATGGCCGCGAGGCCTGGCGCTTCTACCTCGCTACCTTCTGGACTGTGAGTGCTGCTCGGTGGCGATGGGTGGTGATGGGTTCTGTGGTGTGGCAAGCTGAGTGTGGGCCCACCTGTTGGTACTGTGAGTGTGGGGTTGGAGTGTGCGGCCGTTTTATGGCGATCTTCCCACTCGCCTGCTTTTGCCACTCACTAAACTCTCCTCCCCCCCCTCACCCCCCCACTCCGTCCGTGGACCTTCCCCTCCCTATTCTCCCACCCTTCCCCTCCCCACTCCCCCCGTTCAACTTCCCCTCCCCTCTCCCCCCCCCCCCTCTCCCTTCTCCCAATCCCCCTCCCTCCCCAGTCAGGTGGCAGTAAGAATGCGTATGACAGGTTCGGCCAAACAAGGCGCCGGGGGGGAGGCGAGACGGTTGGGTCCGGGCTGCTGGTGGCTGCCTCTACCACCTCCAACCCTACCCAACCGTGGAACCTCTTCTTCATCCCTGCATCGTATGAACGTTACACTATCCCTTTTCTGAAGGATATATACATATATGTGAATGTAGTTCATAATATATGTTATGTTTGTCATGGCATACCATCTGCCCCTATTTTCAGCTTCTTCCTCATTCCCTGTCTGTCCTCACGCCCTATTCCATGGTATGGTGTGGTATGGCATGGTGTGGTGGCGTGGCATGGTGTGGTGGCTTGGCATGGCGTGGCATGACGTGGCATTGCCTTGCATGGCATGGCGCAGCAACGATGGGAAGAACTCGAACGCGGATTTTCGCCCTCCCCTCAACCTCCCAACTCAGGGACTGGTCACTTTCAGTGAGTCGGCCTTTCAGTGAGTCGGCCTTTCAGTGAGTCGGCCTTTCAGTGAGTCGGCCTTTCAGTGAGTCGGCCTTTCAGTGAGTCGGCCTTTCAGTGAGTCGGCCTTTCAGTGAGTCGGCCTTTCAGTGAGTCGGCCTTTCAGTGAGTCGGCCTTTTCAGTGAGTCGGCCTTCAGTGAGTCGGCCTTTCAGTGAGTCGGCCTTTCAGTGAGTCGGCCTTTCAGTGAGTCGGCCTTCAGTGAGTCGGCCTTTCAGTGAGTCGGCCTTTCAGTGAGTCGCCTTTCAGTGAGTCGGCCTTTCAGTGAGTCGGCCTTTCAGTGAGTCGGCCTTTCAGTGAGTCGGCCTTCAGTGAGTCGGCCTTTCAGTGAGTCGGCCTTTCAGTGAGTCCGGACCTTTCCAGTGAGTCGGGCCTTTCAGTGAGTCGGGCCTTTCAGTGAGTCGGCCTTTCAGTGAGTCGGCCTTTCCAGTGAGTCGGCCTTTCAGTGAGTCGGCCTTTCAGTGAGTCGCCTTCAGGACGGCCTTTCAGTGAGTCGGTCGGCCTTTCAGTGAGTCGGCCTTTCCAGTGAGTCGGCCTTTCAGTGAGTCGGCCCTTTCAGTGAGTCGGCCTTTCAGTGGAGTCGGCCTTTCAGGAGTCGCTAGATCGGCCTTTCAGTGAGTCGGCCTTCAGTGAGCCTTCAGGACGCTTTCAGTGAGTCGGCCCTTTCAGTGAGTCCGGGCCCTTTCAGTGAGTCGGCCTTTCAGTGAGTCGCTCAAGTCCCTTTCAGTGATGAGTCGGCCTTTCAGTGAGTCGGCCTTTCAGTGAGTCGGCCTTTCAGTGAGTCGGCCTTTCAGTGAGTCGGCCTTTCAGTGAGTCGGCCTTTCAGTGAGTCGGCCTTTCAGTGAGTCGGCCTTTCAGTGAGTCGGCCTTTCAGTGAGTCGGCCTTTCAGTGAGTCGGCCTTTCAGTGAGTCGGCCTTTCAGTGAGTCGGCCTTTCAGTGAGTCGGCCTTTCAGTGAGTCGGCCTTTCAGTGAGTCGGCCTTTCAGTGAGTCGGCCTTTCAGTGAGTCGGCCTTTCAGTGAGTCGGCCTTTCAGTGAGTCGGCCTTTCAGTGAGTCGGCCTTTCAGTGAGTCGGCCTTTCAGTGAGTCGGCCTTTCAGTGAGTCGGCCTTTCAGTGAGTCGGCCTTTCAGTGAGTCGGCCTTTCAGTGAGTCGGCCTTTCAGTGAGTCGGCCTTTCAGTGAGTCGGCCTTTCAGTGAGTCGGCCTTTCAGTGAGTCGGCCTTTCAGTGAGTCGGCCTTTCAGTGAGTCGGCCTTTCAGTGAGTCGGCCTTTCAGTGAGTCGGCCTTTCAGTGAGTCGGCCTTTCAGTGAGTCGGCCTTTCAGTGAGTCGGCCTTTCAGTGAGTCGGCCTTTCAGTGAGTCGGCCTTTCAGTGAGTCGGCCTTTCAGTGAGTCGGCCTTTCAGTGAGTCGGCCTTTCAGTGAGTCGGCCTTTCAGTGAGTCGGCCTTTCAGTGAGTCGGCCTTTCAGTGAGTCGGCCTTTCAGTGAGTCGGCCTTTCAGTGAGTCGGCCTTTCAGTGAGTCGGCCTTTCAGTGAGTCGGCCTTTCAGTGAGTCGGCCTTTCAGTGAGTCGGCCTTTCAGTGAGTCGGCCTTTCAGTGAGTCGGCCTTTCAGTGAGTCGGCCTTTCAGTGAGTCGGCCTTTCAGTGAGTCGGCCTTTCAGTGAGTCGGCCTTTCAGTGAGTCGGCCTTTCAGTGAGTCGGCCTTTCAGTGAGTCGGCCTTTCAGTGAGTCGGCCTTTCAGTGAGTCGGCCTTTCAGTGAGTCGGCCTTTCAGTGAGTCGGCCTTTCAGTGAGTCGGCCTTTCAGTGAGTCGGCCTTTCAGTGAGTCGGCCTTTCAGTGAGTCGGCCTTTCAGTGAGTCGGCCTTTCAGTGAGTCGGCCTTTCAGTGAGTCGGCCTTTCAGTGAGTCGGCCTTTCAGTGAGTCGGCCTTTCAGTGAGTCGGCCTTTCAGTGAGTCGGCCTTTCAGTGAGTCGGCCTTTCAGTGAGTCGGCCTTTCAGTGAGTCGGCCTATTCAGTGAGTCGGCCTTTCAGTGAGTCGGCCCCTTTCAGTGAGTCGGCCTTTCAGTGAGTCGGCCTTTCAGTGAGTCGGCCTTTCAGTGAGTCGGCCTTTCAGTGAGTCGGCCTTTCAGTGAGTCGGCCTTTCAGTGAGTCGGCCTTTCAGTGAGGTCGGCCTTTCAGTGAGTCGGCCTTTCAGTGAGTCGGCCTTTCAGTGAGTCGGCCTTTCAGTGAGTCGGCCTTTCAGTGAGTCGGCCTTTCAGTGAGTCCCTCGTGAGTCCTTTCAGTGAGTCGGCCTTTCAGTGAGTCGGCCTTTCAGTGAGTCGGCCTTCGTCAGTGAGTCGGCCTTTCAGTTTGAGTCGGGGCTTTCAGTGAGTCGGCCTTTCAGTGAGTCGCCTTTCAGTGAGTCGGCCTTTCAGTGAGTCCGGCCTTTCAGTGAGTCGGAGGTCGGCCTTTCAGTGAGTCGGCCTTTCAGTGAGTCGCCTTTCAGTGAGTCGGCCTTTCAGTGAGTCGGCCTTTTCAGTGAGTCGGCCTTTCAGTGAGTCGCCTTTCAGTGAGTCGGCCTTTCAGTGAGTCGGCCTTTCAGTGAGGTCGGCCTTTCAGTGAGTCGGCCTTTCAGTGAGTCGGCCTTTCAGTGAGTCGGCCTTTCAGTGAGTCGGCCTTTCAGTGAGTCGCCTTTCAGTGGTCGGCCTTTCAGTGAGTCGGCCTTTCAGTGAGTCGGCCTTTCAGTGGAGTCGGCCTTTCAGTGAGTCGGCCTTTCAGTGAGTCGGCCTTTCAGTGAGTCGGCCTTTCAGTGAGTCGGCCTTTCAGTGAGTCGGCCTTTCAGTGAGTCGGCCTTTCAGTGAGTCGGCCTTTCAGTGAGTCGGCCTTTCAGTGAGTCGGCCTTTCAGTGAGTCGGCCTTTCAGTGAGTCGGCCTTTCAGTGAGTCGGCCTTTCAGTGAGTCGGCCTTTCAGTGAGTCGGCCTTTCAGTGAGTCGGCCTTTCAGTGAGTCGGCCTTTCAGTGAGTCCGGCCTTTTCAGTGAGTCGGCCTTTCAGTGAGTCGGCCTTTCAGTGAGTCGGCCTTTCAGTGAGTCGGCCTTTCAGTGAGTCGGCCTTTCAGTGAGTCGGCCTTTCAGTGAGTCGGCCTTTTCAGTGAGTCGGCCTTTCAGTGAGTCGGCCTTTCAGTGAGTCGGCCTTTTCAGTGAGTCGGCCTTTCAGTGAGTCGGCCTTTCAGTGAGTCGGCCTTTCAGTGAGTCGGCCTTTCAGTGAGTCGGCCTTTCAGTGAGTCGGCCTTTCAGTGAGTCGGCCTTTCAGTGCGTTCATGCCTACAGCATTGCAGTTTTCCTCCCGTCATCCCCATCCTCGCTGCAAGCTAGTTGGTCCTCCCTCCCTTCACTCGCAACCTCCTCCTCCTCCTCCTCCCACCGCTGCTCCCCCCCTGTCTTTCTCCCCCCAGTTCCTCGTCCCTTGCGTCCTCATCTCATTCGCCCGCTCTTCTCTCCCCTTGTCTCCCCCCCCCCCTTCCCCTGCTCTTCTCCCCTATTCCTGTGCAGTGGACTACCCCCAGACAGGCGCAGATGCATATGGTGAGATGTGGTGCAGTATGGTACGGGATAATGAGATGCGGATACAGTGCGGTATTTGTCGGCAGATGCTTGGGGAAAATCGCCATGCTGTGGTTCAGACCTCCGTGGTTCAAACCTGCGTCTCTATGCGCATGTATCTATTTTTTAGCCGCCTGGTTGGTTGCACCTGTGCGCATGTATCCGTGTGGTTTCTGTGCCTATGTGTGTCATTTTCTGTCAAACTCTGGTCGTTCGTACCTATTTGAGCCTAATTCTGTCAAGCTTTCTATGTCTTTCTATATGTACTGCCCCCAGGTTTCTATGTGTCAGCCAATCACTTCTCTTATGAGGATTCAGGGTACTTTGGAGTCAGCATATAGTAAGTCACACCATCAGGTCATGCAATGACACGAATAAGTTTTGTAAGTTATGTATTTACATAGGAAAATGTACTAAACACCAATTGCAGTAGCTGGACACGAGGCGCAGCTAGTTCGGCCACCCTAAGAGGCACGCTTCCAACTTCAAGTCACATTGTATCAGTATAGCACAAACCATACATGCCTCCTCACCCATGTACTGCATTCTCACCCCCTTGTTCTCCCTATATGCCCCTCCCCATCTCTTCCCCCCCCCCCTCTCCCCCCACCCCCCATCCTCCCATCCTCTCCCCTCTCCCACATACCTCCCATCCCCCAGTGCTATCTCCAAGGTGCAGCTATCTCGCCCTAGGAGCACTTTCATCCTCCGTATAGCCATCCCCACTAACAGCGACCCCACCACCCCAGACTACACCGTCTGGCCCCAGAAGGTAGCAGCGGACAGTGCCTACGACACCAGCAACGGCGGCACCATGTATTTCGGTTATAACGAGGATGCAACGGGCACGTCTGATTTCAGTCCCGTCACCGGCTTCACCTATATCGGGGCGTTCCTTATAACGGGGACAGGCTACCTGGGCACCAAACGGGCGCTATCCCTAGTGCAGACCTACTATGCTGCCGTATCCTCTTCCGGATTTTACACTCCAGGCCTCTTAGTACAGAAATGGGGCCCGGTGCCTTTGGCATGGGTGTATGGGACTACGATAAAGCCGATAGACCCATCAACTACGGACGTGCGAGGGGTGGTGGTAGATGCAGTTAAAAAGCAGATGTGGATGACTTTTACAACTGGCGCAACCTTGGATTTGCTACCCTTTGTGGTGGTGGCTCGGCTTCGCATGACGCTCGTTCCCCAGAGGAAGTGGCAGCCGCTTCGGGTAGTTCTGGAGCGGTTCAAATGGGTTGGAGTGAAAGGGAATGGGTTGATTCAGCCGAGTGTTGCGCTGAACAGGCATGGGAAGGGGATCATAGCCACGTCGCTTGCCGGCCCGTCCTACTACCCCTCCGCTGCCTATGCCACATTGAATGCGGATGCAGTTGTGGGTGATGTGGTGGTGGCTGGTGCTGGTGCTGCAGCATTGGATGACTACTCAGGTGAGGGAGAAGAATGGAGGGGGATGGGTTGTGACGCCTCGTTATTTCTGCCCCGCTGCTGCATAAGCCACTTTGAAAGTGGATGGGGTTGTGGGTGATGTGGTGGTGGCTGGTGCAGCCGCTGCAGCATTGGATGATTACTCAGGTGAGGGAGGGGAAGTGAGGGGGAAAGGAGGGGGAGTTGCTGTCCATCGCCCTTCTCACGTTCCAAACCTGTGCATTGCCCTCCCACAAACCACCCCCCCTCCCCCCCCCGTTCCAGGGTACATGGGCTTCGGTGCAGCGGTTCGCTACGGCGACTACATGACAGCAGCTATCGACGAGGAGGGCAATGCATGGGGTGCCGTGCAGTATGTGCCGGGGAGGCCCAGAAGCTACTGGAGCAACTGGGCCACTTATATCTTCAAGGTGGTGCTGTGATCAGGAGTGAACGCCCCTAGGGCAGCAGCTTGAGATGGGGAGGGTGTCAACTTATACATATTATCTATGTAGAAGTTATAGGCTAGACTGAGGTATGCTTCTAGTGAGTACAACCAACTAGTATTTGTTCTAGGTTTCCACCTCTAGTAATCATTCGTTTCTACGTTAACATGGTATCACGCTTAGGTTAGGATCCCCCCGCCTACCGCTTCCGCCCGTCGCGCCTCCTAGGCCCCGTCGCGCCCCCTAGGCCCCGTCGCGCCCCCCTGGGCCCCGTCGCGCTCGTTAGGCCCCGTCGCGCCCCCCCTGGGCCCCGTCGTGCCCGCTGGGCCCCGTCGCGCCTCCTAGGCCCCGTCGCGCTCCCCCTGGGCCCCGTCGCGCCCGCTGGGCCCCGTCGCGACCCCTAGGCCCTAACGCGCCCCCGCTGGGCCCCGTCGCGCCCCCCATGGGCCCCGTCGAGCCCGCTGAGCCCTGTCGCGCCTCCTAGGCCCCGTCGCGCCTGCTAGGCCCCGTCGCGCCCCCCCTGGGCCCCGTCGCGCCCGTTAGGCCCCGTCGCGGCCCCCCTGGAACCCGTCGTGCCCGCTGGTCCCCGTCGCGCCTCCTCGGCCCCGTCGCGCCCCCCCTGGGCCCCGTCGTGCCCGCTGGGCCCCGTCGCGCCCCTTAGGCCTCGTTGCGCCCGCTGGCCCCTGTCGCGCCTGCTGTTAGCGCTCGCCTGCCTGGCCTCCTAGTGCCGCTCGGCCTCCTCCTAGTGCCGCCCGGCCTCCTCCTAGTGCCGCCCGGTCCCTTCCTAGCGCCGCCCGGCCTCTCCTCAGCGCTGCCCGGCCCCTCCTCGTGCCCGACCGGCCCCAGCAGCACCAGCCTGGCCCCTCCCAGCACCAGCCCGGCCCCAGAGCACCTGCCCGCCTCCCCTGCTCGGCCTGCCGTGTCCTCTCGGGCCCTGTGTCTTCTGCTCGCCTGCGCTGGGACGCCTAGCTGCTGCCCTACTGGAGAGTGCTGCCGCCGTGTCCCCGCGCCGCTGTGCTCCTGTGCCGCTGAGGAGCTGTGCTGCTGTGCCGCTGTGTCGCTGAGGAGCTGTGCCGCTGACCCTGCACGATGGCTGACTTTGTGCTCCGCCTGGACGCTGAGGGCCACGCGGTTGACTTCGCCGCCTGGCTCTCCGATCTCCGCCGCCAGCTTACAGGTCAGCGCCAGGATGGCCACTCTCTGGTTGTCCATGCTGATGGCTTGCTCCCCCGTCCCCCTGCACCTACTCCCCTCCCTGCTGACCCCTCCTCTGATGACCGTGAGGCTTTCTCTACTGCTGCGCTGGCCTGTGCGGTCTGGGACTCACGCGATGCAGTAGCTCAGGTTGCTATTAGTCACGCCCTCCCTGTGTCTGAGCGCTCGCGTTTTGCTACTGTTGAAACGGCCAAAGCTTATTTAGACGCCGTTATTGCTCGCTATTCCACCCCTGCCTCCGCTTCTGCTGGCCGCTTGCTCTTTCCGATGCTGTTCCCAGACCTGGCTGCCTTCCCTACTGTCGCAGACTTTGCCACTCATTTGCGTGCCCTAGAGACTCGCTATCGCACTGCCAGCACTGCTGCCCAGCTCACTGCGCTCCCCCTTCCTTTCTGCATGACGCTCTATTTTATCGCTATGCGCCTGCCAGACCGCCTCGCTAGTGCTCGCGACCACTTTCTTAGCCAGCACCCGGGTGACCTCACCCTGACCGCCTTTGTCGACACCCTCACTGAGATCGAGACTCGCCAGCGCACTATTGCTCAGTCGAGCGGTGCGCCGGCAGTCTCTATCTTTCACGGCTGTGCCCCACCCCAGTGCATGTTCACTGACGTTTCGGCTGCGGTCGCCACGGCGACCCCTCTTACCGAGACGGCTGCTGCTGTCCACCCGCAGCAGCGCTCGCGTCGCGGTGGTCGTGGCCGCCAGGGAGGTAGGGGTGGTGACGCAGGTGGTAGTGGTCGTGGTGGTGGTGACGGTAGTCCGCCTGAGGGGACTACCACCGGTGGGCAGGAGCAGCAGCCCCAGCAGCAGCAGGACCAGCCCCAGCCACAGCCGCCGTCCCAGCAGCACCCGCCGCAGCCGTGGGCTCGTCTCCCGCCTGGTTGGCCCGGCACCTCCGGAGGCGGTGGCCGTGGTGGCGGCCCGCGCAGCTTGGCGTCTACCAGCGGCTCCAGTGCTGTGACCTGCCAGTACCAGCTTCAGACCGGGCCTCTCCGCGGCACTCTGTGCCGCCGCCCGCACCCGACCGCCCGCTGTTTCCGCCGCCTCGACGATCTTTTTCGTCGTCGCTTTGGCCCGGCCCCGGACCTCCCTGACTGGCACAGCCTACTCCGCCAGGGCGTGCCGATCTTTGAGTTAGACATGGATCAGATAGGTGCTGCTTTGCATGCTTTGTATGCTGACGCTTCTAGTGTTGCTGTATCTTACTACCCTGTGTACTCTAGTTTAGGTGTTTCACCCTTGTGTAGCTTAGCTTCCCCTGCTGCGACAGGCGTAGGACTGCCTAGGTTGCCTAGTCTAGTCGCTGCACCGGCTCCGTCCCCGGCCTCCGCCACTGCGTCGCTGTCCTTCACTCTCGACTCTGGTGCTTCTGCCTGCTTCTTCCGCGACCGTTCCACGCTCACGCCGCTTGCTGCACCTGCTGTTGTCTCTCTCGCTGACCCCTCTGCGGGTCCGGTCATCGCGCGCAGTTCTACGTCCCTTCCTTGTCCGGCAGTTCCCTCGGGCTCCCTTACTGGCCTCCACGTTCCCTCGTTCTCCAGGAACCTGGTTGGTGTCGGCTGTCTCCAGGACCTCGGCGTCACCACCACGTTCCCCGGGCACGAGCGGTTCGCTGTCTGTTCTGAGGCTGTCTCAGGTTCCCCCCTTGCGACGTTCCCCCGGGACCCGGTGTCCGGTCTGTTTACCCTACACACCGCTTCCCCCCGGTTGGTGCGTCCTCCCAGGTCGCTGCAGCTTGCTCGTGTCGGTCCCTCACTCACCCCTCCCTTCTCTGGCACCACCGCTTAGGTCACCCTGCTCTCCCGCGTCTGCGTCACATGTCCCAGCACGGTCTTGTCTTAGGTCTCCCCGCGTCGCTCCCTGCCCTTCCTCCCTCGACTGCGCCACCGTGCACGCCTTGCGTCGAGGGTCGGCTCCGCCGTGCTCCTCACTCCTCCTCGCTGCGTCCTGCTACTGCCCCCCTTCAGACCCTGCACTTGGACGTTTGGGGCCCTGCCCCCGTCCCCGGACCGCGCGGTGAGCGCTACTTCCTTGTGCTCGTCGACGACTACACGCGCTACACCACGGTGTTTCCCCTGGAGCGGAAGGCCGACGTGCCCGACGTTCTTCTCCCGTGGGTTGTGGCTGCGCGTCTCCACCGCGGTCTCCCCGTGTTGTGTCTCCACTCCGACCGTGGCGGCGAGTTCGCCTCTGGTCGGCTTGGACAGTTCTGTCGTGCGGAGGGCATCACCCAGTCGTACACGTTGCCGGACTCGCCACAGCAGAATGGGGTTGCTGAGCGCCGCATCGGCTTGGTCATGGAGGTCGCCCGTACCTCCATGATCCATGCCGATGCCCCCCATTTTCTGTGGCCGTTCGCTGTTCGCTACGCGGCTCACCAGCTTAACCTGTGGCCACGCTCCCAGCGGCCGCAGGTTTCGCCGACCCTCCTTTGGACCGGGTCCCCCGGTGACGCGTCTGCGTTCCACGTCTGGGGCTGCCTTGCTCACGTTCGTGCCTCTGGCACGGACAAGCTCACTGCCCGCACTGTCCCCTGTGTCTTCCTCGGTTTCCCCCTGGACTCGTCTGACTGGCTTTTCTACCACCCGCCGTCTCACCGCTTCCTCCACTCTCGTGACGTCACCTTTGACGAGTCCGTCTCCTTCTACCGCCGCTTCCCTCACCGAGGTCTCCCAGTTGCCCCCCCCCTTTTCCTTGCTCCCTCTCCCCCGGTAGCCCCTGCCCCTCTCCCGCCTCGTCCTGCCCCGTCTGGTGTCTCCCACGTCACTCCCCTCCCGTCAGTTGTCCCCGTTGAGGAGTCTGCTGACTCTGGTGGTACCCCCGGTCCGTCCTTGCCGCGTCCCCCTTCCCCGGTGCCTCCGCCCCCACTGTCGCAGTCGTCGACCCCGCTGCCGCCGCCGTCGCCGTCGCCGCCGCAGCCGTCGCCGCCGCCGCCGCTGTCGCTGCCGCAGCCGTCGCCGCTGTCGCCGCCGCCGCAGCCGTTGCCGCCACTGCCACCGCTGCTCTCGGCCCCTGGGGGTGCTGGTGTGGAGGAGGGTGTTCGTCCTGCGGCTTCTGGGGGTGCCGCTGGTGTTGGAGGGGGTTCTCGCTCTGGGGGTGTTGGTTCTGGGGGTGCTGCTGTTGAGTGTTCTGCCGACGGTCGTTCTGCCTCTGCTGGTCCGAGAGTTCCGGCCCAGCCGTCGTTGCCGCCGCAGCAGCCGTCGCCGCCGGTTTCCGCTCTCCGCCTGCTCGGCCTTCCCTCCCCGGACCGCGCGCCGGTGTCTCCCCCACCGCCTCCTGACCTTCCTGTCTACGGTCCTGTGTTCCCGCCGCCAGACTCGTCTCCGGCCCGTCTTCCTCCTCGTTCCCCTCCTGTGTCTCCTCCGCTGTCCCCTGACCCTACCCCTCCGTCTCACGTTTGGGCTCGCCGTCCCTCCCGTGCTCGTCCCGTCTCTCCTGTCCTGCCCACCCACCCTATGTTGCTCCGTTCCCACTCGTCTCGTCCTCCCCTCCTCCCGTCCCCTCCTCCCTCGTCCCTTGCTGTTGCACCTCCTCCGTTCTCTGACTACCTCCGTTCTGCTCGTCCCCTTATCCCTCGGGTCCTTGCCTCTCTTGTTACCGACCCTACTGTTCCTGTCTCGCGCCTTGACGCGCTTGTCGCTGCTGTCGCTGACTTCGCTTCTACCCGCCGCCTTGACTACGCTACCGCTCTGGTCTCTGACCCTGCCCGTCCTCCGTCCGTCGGGGGTGCTCCTGCCCTTGGCAGTGACGTCCTAGAGGACAGGCAGTACGAGCTGGCTTTCCTTTCCGAGGCTGCTCCCCATCTCTGCTCCATGCTGTTAGTCCCTGAGGGTGACCCAGACGCCTTCGACATCCCGACCCCTCGCACCTACGCTGAGGCCACCTCGGGACCTTGGGCCTCTCAGTGGATAGCTGCCATGGAGCAGGAGATGGCATCTTGGAGATCCACCGGCACTTACGTCGACGCAGTTCCCCCGCCTGGGGTGAACGTAGTCGATGGTCGGTGGCTCTTCAAGGTGAAGCGCCCCCCTGGAGAGCCGCCTGTCTTCAAGGCGCGCTACGTGGCCAGAGGTTTCAGTCAGCGCGAGGGGGTGGACTTCTTCCAGACCTTCGCCCCGACCCCGAAGATCACCACTCTTCGGGCGCTGCTACACGTAGCAGCACAGCGTGACTACGAGCTTCACTCCCTCGACTTCTCTACTGCCTTTCTTCAGGGCAGCCTACACGAGCAGGTCTACCTGCGCCGACCACAGGGCTTCACTGGTACCTTCCCTCCTGGGACCCAGTGGCTTCTCAGGCGCCCGGTCTACGGCCTGCGTCAGGCTCCCCGCGAGTGGCACGACACGCTACGTGCCACGTTAGCAGACCTGCAGTTCTTTCCGTCCTCTGCTGACCCTTCACTGTTTGTGCGTTCCGGCCAGACTCCGTTCTACATCCTTGTCTACGTAGACGACCTGGTCTTCGCTACTCCTGACAGGGATGCACTGGCCTCTGTGAAGGCTGAGCTGCTGAAGAGACACACCTGCACTGACCTTGGAGAGCTGCGTCGCTATCTTGGCCTGCAGATCTCTAGGGACAGAGCAGCACGCACCATCACTCTGACCCAGTCACACTTGGTGCGTCAGGTCCTTCAGAGGTTCGGTCTTCAGTTCTCCTCTGCACAGCCCACACCTCTACCCGTAGACCATGGGCTCTCTGCTCCCGTTCCTGAGGAGCCAGTAGAGCCCAGTGGCCCCTACGCAGAGCTGGTGGGTTGCCTCATGTACCTGATGACTTGCACTCGCCCAGATCTCGCATACCCTCTCAGCATCCTGGCTCGCTTTGTGGCTACAGGCAGACACCGACCTCAGCACTGGTCTGCCGCTAAGAGGGTTTTGCGTTATCTTGCTAGTACATCAGGCATGGGGTTAGTGCTAGGAGGACGCAGGCCAGTGGTCCTTACTGGGCACACAGACGCTTCTTGGGCAGACGACGCTGAGACGCTCAGGTCGTCGCAGGGCTACTGTTTCAGCCTTGGTTCGGGTGCTATCTCTTGGAGATCCACTCGCTCGTCGTCTGTGGCTCAGTCTAGCTGTGAGGCTGAGATCTACGCTGGTGCCATGGCGGCACAGGAGCTCCGCTGGCTGACCTTCTTGCTCATAGACTTAGGTGAGCGGCCTAGCTCTGCCCCGGTCCTGTACGCTGACAACAGGGCCATGATACTCCTGTGTCAGGAGCCTCGGCTTGAGGGCAGAGCGAAGCATATCCAGCTGCGGTACTTCCTCCTGCGCGAGCTACAGCAGCGCCGCCAGGCCCGCGTAGTTCACTTGGCCTCAGGTGCCAACACAGCTGATATCTTTACTAAGGCGCTTGCGCCTAAAGATCATCAGCGGCACTGTGTACAGCTTGGTCTTGTTCCTGTAGCTGCTCCCCTGTTAGGATCCTGATTGTGTACTCTCTATTATATATGCTTGTCAGACTGGCCTTGTGGCCTTACAGTACCTCCAGTGGCTGGACTAGTAGTGCCACCCTGGCTTGCTTCAGTTTTGGTTGTTTTCTTGCTGACTGGTCTCCAGACCAGACCCCTGCCTCAGTGGTTGGACTAGTAGTGCCGCCCTGAGCTGTTTGCTTCTTGTTTAGTTTCACCCCTTGTCTAGCCTAGGGGGTGTGTCAACTTATACATATTATCTATGTAGAAGTTATAGGCTAGACTGAGGTATGCTTCTAGTGAGTACAACCAACTAGTATTTGTTCTAGGTTTCCACCTCTAGTAATCATTCGTTTCTACGTTAACAGAGGGGAGCAGGGGCGCTGTGCAGTACCATGTGCCAGGGAGGCCCAGAAGCTACTGGAGCAACTAGGCCACTTACATCTTCAAGGTGTCGCTGTGATCGGGAGTGTACGCCCCTAGTGCAGCAGGTGTCAACAAGAGGGGCAACGCATGGGGCGCGGTGCAGTATGTGCCGGGGAGGCCCAGAAGCTACAGGAGCAACTGGGCCACTTACATCTTCAAGGTGGTGCTGTGATCTGGAGTGTACGCCCCTAGGGCAGCCAGTAATAGTTTGGTGTATCTAGTTTCTTGCATGGTAATCATACTCATTAATGTAATGAAAATGCATGCCTCAAATTACATGTGTTTCACTACTACCGTATGTGAAATTTCATTCGTCTCGAATGAACAGCAGCAGGGGGTGTAGATGAATTTGGGGCCGAACAGAAACGATTAGACACGCCAGTAGAACCCTTGCCATGACATCAGCCCAGCAACGAGTGACCAGAAAATCACTTTCGAACAAGCTGTTACAATTGCTGCCGTTTCGTAATCGTGGCCTGCCCATAGCAGCAGGTTACGCAGAAGGGACACCTGGACGCAGCAGAAAATAAATAATTTAATTAAAGTACCGGTACCAGTTGGAATGATGCGGGAGGCTGGAAGGGTGGTCGGGGGGATGGGGAAGGCATTGTGGAGTAAGCAAGAATCGATGAACGGCGCACATAGTGTGCATGGGTGGGTGGAGAGGAGTACAGACATACAAGGCTCAAATCTGCCAGTATAAGCCAGCTGTGAAAGAGGAGAGGAGAGGAGAGGATACAAGAGGCGTGGCACTTTGAGTCGACTCCCAAGTCACCTCGTTATGTACTTACAAGGTTCTGGTCTGGGTCTTCCCAGTACAGGCCAGCAGCGATTGAGGAGAGGAGAGGCGTGGCGCATGCAAGGAAGAGGAAGAGGGAGTTCTGCCCCATCCACTCGAAGGGACAGGTGTAGAACCGCACCCCTGCTGCATCCACCTGGTGGGAGCATGGGACAGGAAAAATAGCAATAACGGGGCGCAGAGCGCACCTGTGAATGCAAAAGTATCCTCATGTCTGCCAAAGGAAGGTACTTCTCAGAGATTTGTTTCATGGATGTACGAATTGTGGCATTAATTTTTACTACCACTATAAGTGAGGAGAGAGTGCTTACGAAGAGGTAGACGAGGGAGAAGAGGAGTGCAGCAGCCCCTGCTGTTACCAGGACATAGCTTAGCGAGTACAGCTGGGCATTGAATGGCATGCCTGAGGGACAAAAAAGAGAAGAATACCGCAAGAGAAATTAAGATGCCAAGTTGTGGTTACGTCGAACGAGTAGCTATGGATAAAGCGATGTGTGCGGAAATAAACATAAGGGAGATCAAGTGAACTGTACCAGGATAGGAGATAGCGAGCCACTCGGGAATGTTTGTATGGGGGATGGCGTGGTGGAGGGAGAAGGAGAAGGGAAACTGGAGGAGGAAACCGGCTCCCATAAGGAGAGCTGATAAGAGGAGGGTGTTGACCATGCGAGCTGCATGGCTCTGAGATAGATCATGGAACAATGAGGGGAGCAGGGAGGGGGGGGGAGTTGAAAGGAAGGGAAGGCAGATGAGAATGAGATAAGGTGCAAAGGGAGACCATGAGCAAGGTGCCGAGAGAGTGAGGCGAGAAGACTACTTGAAAGCTGGGGCAGGAAGAGGTCAACAGCTGGTTACCTGGAGGCTGGTGATGATATGGCCCAGGTGCAAGCCCATGAGGGCAGTGAGTGTGGCGCCTAGCGTGCTGAGGAATGGAGGGGAAAGAGAGGGTGGGGTAAGGGGAGAAACAGAGTACCACAAGGAAGAGTGGAAGAGAAACTGAGGGGGGGGGGAGGAGAGTGAGTGAGGGTGTGCAACCAAGAGAGGGGGAAGGCTGAGTTGCAGAGATTCACAGCAGAATCCACCCATCCTCACTTGCTGACACTGCCACCCTCATCAATCCCCGCAACAGCGATTCAACAACCCTTGGTGCCTCAGGCCCCAACCCGTCCCTCCCTCCTCCGCCCCTCTCCCCCCACTCCCCTCTTTCCTCCCGTTTCATCCTACACACGTCCCTTCCGTGCCCCTGCTCTCACCTGAGGAGGCCCATGGGCTCGAATGGAGCGGAGCACCACGCGGGGGGGGATTGGGCGTCAGAGGAGGGGAGGGAGAGGAGTGGGGTAGGTGCGGGTTTAGGGGACGGAAGGGAGTGGTTGCTGCTGCACACCTGAAGTAGGGAGAAGGGAAGAAGCAAGTGAGTACAGAACACCCATGCAGAATGCAGACACTAGGAGGGGAGGGAGAATGCAGACGTATATTGGAAAGAGGGGCTGGAGAGGTAGAGAACGCATGCATGCGTGAGAGTGTGAAGTGCATGACCATGTGGATAGCTTACCAGTAAGTGGGAATACGGAGGTGAAGCGAGGAGGTGATTTTGCTGGGTTCTTTTTGAGAATTCTAAAAAACACCCGGCAAAATAGAGAACGCACGCATGCGTGAGAGTGTGAAGTGCGTGACCATGTGGATAGCTTACCGGTAAGTGGGAATACGGAGGTGAAGCGAGGAGGTGGTTGGTGGTGAGAAGCAGTCTGTCGATGTAGCCAGCTGCATTGCAGGCAGGGGTGAGGTCGCCAGAGCGAGAGCAGAGCACCTGATGGGGATGGTGGAAGGGATGGGGATGGGCAAGGGGTCGTGTAGGGAAGGGATGTACATGGTGAGGAAGAGAGGTGAACGTGAATAGATGTAGGCAGGTGCATTGCAGGCAGGGGTGAGGTCGCCAGAGCGAGAGCACACCACCCGATGGGGGTGGCGGAAGGATGGCAAGGCCATGAGAGCAATGGCAAGGCAAGAAATGCAGAAGAGATGCAGTGGCAAGGAAGGACAAGACGGATAAAGAGACGACTTTTGAGGCGCCTCAAAAGGGAGGCTGGCAAGGAAGGACAAGACGCACGAGGCGCTTCCTTATCAGTAAGAGCACCAGAGTCAAAGGCGCCATCTGGTGCGTTCTAGGAGGATGGCCTGGAAACGGTTATTGCATGAACAACTCTGGTGATGTAGACGTGTCCGAGGCAGCTGCAAACTCTTCTGGGGCTTATGTGTTGGGTCAACAAACAACTGACCATCATATCTTGAAGCGTGGCGTTGACAGCAACTGTAGATTCGGGATGGAAGGATGTGTGCGAGGCATTCGGCGGGAGTGCATAGAAGGTGGTGCTGGTGGTGGTGGAGGAGGGAGAGGAGGAGGAGGAGGAGGAGGTGGGGGGAGAGAAGGTCCAGTCAGGCACGAAGAGGAGGAAGGTGAGGGCGAGATAGATGGCTGCCAGTACGAGAGAGGCCTGCCTGAAGGGAATACATCACAAGTCATAAGGCAGTAGAGGGGAAGGTACGCATGTCAGGCTGAAGGGTGGAATGCAGCTGTCAGAGGTTGCAGCTGTGGTGAAACCAAAAGCAGCTACCATGAGAGACGCCTGGCTGGCGAAATGAGGACGCGCCAGCAGGGGCTCATGCAGCGGATTAAAAGGCAAGCTATCTCACGTCATGCCACGGCGTACATGAACGGAAAGCACTAACCAGGTGAAGAGTGAGAAGGAGAGCAGGCCCGAGAATCCCTCGGTGCGCCCCTCTGAGCGCCCGTCTGTGCGCCCCTCCGAGTGGCAGCCCTTGGCAGCGGACAGCAGCACCTGGGCCAGAGCTGCTACACTGTACGCGATGGCAATGCGCTGCAGCGTGCCGCAGATGCGGATGCGCGTCAGGCTGATGCCGAAGCTTAGGTCCCCTGTTTTGTGGAGGAACCCGCCTGGAAAGTGCGGGAGGGTGGAAGGAGAGGCAAGGGAAGCGCGGGCCTGTGGTGAGAGAGGAGTGTGAGGGAGAGAAGGGAGCGGGTGAGGGGAGAGGCGAGAGGGGTTTGGATGGGTGAGAAGAGCAGTGGAGATGTCAGAGCGAAAACTGAAAGAGAGGTTTACTTTGTCCGATTTTACAAAGGTAGGCAGAGGGAGAGTGATCAAAGGTAGGCACTGGGCGAGTCACCTTCAAGGAAGAGGCCGAGGAGAAAAAGGCAGCAGTCCCATCTTAGGATCCTATGCACGGCAGCAGAGTGACTGTGCACGACTCTGAACGTGAGCGACGTCTCAGAACCAACCTTTATAAACATTCAGAGACAGTCACCTTCAAGGAAGAGGCCGAGGAGAAAGAGGCAGCAGGCTCGTCTGAGGATCCTATGCACGGCGGCAGAGCGGCTGTGCACGGCTCTGAACGTGAGCGCCACTGCAGCGCCCGAGGCGAAGAGGAAGAAGGGAGCCACCAGGTCTCCCAGAAGAAGTCCGTCCCAGGGGGATACCCCCATCCATGGCACCTCCGGGCCCACATCCAGAGCCACGATCATAGCCTGCCAGGAGGCGGGGAGAAAGGAAGACGTTGGAACACGGTCTTAGACATCCAAACCATCCCAGGACCACCACCACCACCAGCAGCAGTAGCGGTAGCCCGTCCCAGGGGGATACCCCCGCCCATGGCACCTCCGGGCCCACATCCAGAGACAAGATCATAGCCTGAAGTAAGGGAGAGGGGGGGGAGGGAAGTGGAGAAGGTGAATGTGTCCTTGTATTGCGGAGATTGGACACGGTCTTGAAGTTTGAGTGTGAAAGCAGGACATTCGCTAGGAATGTGGAGACGGGGTCTTGCATTGTGAAGCTTGAGAATGATCGTAGATTTGTCGTGAGATGCTGGATGTGGCCTGCGAACGTGGATGTTGGGAACTGGCGGTGCTGGAATATGCACGGGATGATGACGATGAGCCTGCAGGCGTGTGCGTTGTCCGTTGAGGTAACTCGAGGTCAGAATGGAGTACGTACGACGATGCTGATTCCTCGGAAAATGTCGAGCGACGCTAGTCGCACGGGATGATGCGACACGTGCGACGCGCTGTCTGCGCAGGGAATGTGATGCGACGGGAGGATGGGACCCATGCGACTGGTCGTGCGAAGGAGCGGCGATATCAAACCGTCCTCCATGGCTGTGCGAGGAGGCAATGAGACAATATGCGATACTATGCGATGCTATGCGATCAGCCTTCTTAGCGGTCGGCCTCTGACAGCCTTGATTATCCGGCGGCGACGACGCGCTATAAGAATGACGCCATATAAGCACAATAATCTCCAGAAACCTTAAAGCAAGATGCTTCGGGTCAATTATAGTCTTTCGATATCCAGAATGCTGTAAACGGAATGCTCTGTAAGGTGGACTTATCACCTTACACTAACGGTACTCCAGTGACATTCACAGCGATGATGGGCCTTCTAAACGCTAGCGTAAACTCCTATTGTCTCATAGACTCCCTAACCTCAGAACCCGCAATCCGTGGACAACCCAAAAGACCTGTCTGGTAGCCTCGTAGGTGGTTGCATGGCTATCCCAGGTAATCCCAGAGCCATCAGCATCTCGTTGGTGATTTGAACATTTCTCCAACGGCTCCCTCCTGTGGTCCCCAGAACTCCCATTTTGGAATTCCCAAGGCTGCTCTCGTCTCGTCGTTCCCCCCTTGGAAGTTGCCGAGGTCAGTTGGCGCGAACCTTGCCAGCTTGCCTCGGGACAAAATATGTTCGGATAGCCCTCAAAATGCACTGTACAGCACAAAATGAATTTCTGTAATCATAATCATTCGACGCATTGATCTTGTCAGGGAATCTCTAGCGAGTACTGCCTAATTACCCCTGGTAATCACAACCAACCGCTTCCCACTCCTCACAAGTCTCGAGATTCATTTCATGGGGAGTTTGGGTGGTTCATTTGTTCGCTGTTTCTCGAGATAAGGAAATTGGTCTGCTAGTTCCGGGGAAATCTGTCACGCTTTACCGAGATCAATGTCGGTCCTTTCCTTGAAATTCGGAAAGACAACAGCCCCTACCGTCTCGATATGGAGTCACATTCTGAGTCAGCATTCTACAGTGCCTCTGCGTTTACTACTACTGGGCTTACCGTTGATTCTTCTGCTGTCTCTTGTGCTCCGTCCAGCACCTCCCGATAACCCCACTAGCTCCTTTGTTACACGCGAAGATGTAACCACGGAGCGGCGAAAGCTTCTGTTTTCGCTACGGAAGCCCAAGGAATGCGAGGGGGGCCCTGACGGCGCGATGGCGAACAGAGTAATCCCGATGGAAGCTGTAGCGAGTCAGCGCAAGCTGGTCGGCGGATGGCGGCCGCGAGAAGGGAAATACCTCCTGGCGCTCTGCACCACGGGGCGACTGACCAATCAGGTACCGAGAAGGGGTGGGGGGGGGAAGGTAGGGGAAGGGCCGTCCTTCCTCCTCCTCTCCGTCGCTTACATTCTGTGCAAATGAAAGAGTTTGGAGCACGATGAAATGCCTGGTTTTGAGTCGACTCAAAGGTAGGGGAAGGGCCGTCCTTCCTCCTCCTCTCCGTCGCTTACATTCTGTGCAAATGAAAGAGTTTGGAGCACGATGCAATGCCTGGTTTTGAGTCGACTCAAAGGTAGGGGAAGGGCCGTCCTTCCTCCTCCTCTTGGTCGCTTACATTCTGTGCAAATGAATGAGTTTGGAGCACGATGCAATGCCTGGAACGGCGGCTACATTTCCTACCTACTCCTCTCACCGGCTCTCCTCCCCTCTCTTCTCCTCCCCCACTCCCTCCTCTCCCTCCGTCTTCCCCCCACCCCCACAGAGCAGCAGGAGTGCATCATGACATATTTCATTCTCTAAAATTTCCTTAACCGTACCCTCTTAATCCCTCCTCTCACCTCTCCTCCTCCCCCCTCTCTTCCCCCCCTCTCTCCTCCCCCTCCCCACAGAGCAGCAGGAGTGCATCATGACCTATTTCATATTCGCCGTGCTGCTCAACCGCACCCTCATAGTCCCTCCTCTCGCCGTCGCCCAGCACACTGGCCTCAACCTCGTCTGGCCGTGGACCACCGTCTTTAATCTCCCCAGACTCCATACCTGCCTCGCGCCCTCCTACGGCCCCCACACTATCCTCCTCCTACCAGACTACCTCACCCGCTCCCACTCCCCCCATGCTTACGTGTCACACCTAGTCTGCCTCAAGCCCACGTGTAATCATGAGTGGACGCTCAGGGTGCTGCTTCGGGAGAATCCAGGGATCAAGCTAGCGGACAAGAAAGGCCGCCCGGCCGCAGTGAACCAGAGTCTGGTGGATCGGATGGGAAAGGTGCGGCTTGAGAGGCTGCTAGAAGCCGTGAGGGTGGTGGAAGAGGAGGAGGGGAGAGAAGGGGAGGAGGGGAGAGCGGAGGAAGAGGAGGGAAGAACGGATGGGGAAAGGGGAGAGAAGGGGGAGGGGCAGGAGGAGAAAGCCTTGGGGATTGTAGAGAAAAAAGAGGAAGGAACGGGGCAGCCAGGAGGGAGTGGAGAGGCGGGCGGGATGGCAGTAGGAGGAGGAAATAGTGGAAAGGCAGCAGAGACTCGGAGATTGTTGAAAGAGGCAAACAATGGTGCAGAGGAGAGAGGAGTGAGAGCAGCAGCAGCCGCCGCTGCAGCATCCCAAGCTCCCCCACCATCAGCTGCAGCAATTGCAGCAGCACCAGAAGCAACAACCACCCAAGAACCAACAGTTTATGCAGCACCAGAAACATCAACTGCAGGAGCCATGGCAACACCATCTGCTGCCGCACAAGCAGCACCACCACCACCAGAAGCAGCAGCTGCTGCTGCAGTAGCATCACCCACACCACCAGAAGCAGCAGCCGCTGCTGCACTAGCAGCGGCAGCACCACCACCACCACCAGCACCGGCTGTAGCAGTGGCAGCGGCAGCACCAGCTGCTGCAGCCCCTGGCGGAGATGAAAACTCCGATCTGCCTGCGGGCCACATCCTGACCTTTGGTGATTTGGCGGGAACGTCTGTGATTGGCCACGACTGGCTGCTGGAGTCAGCTCTGCCCCTCGTTACAGTGCCACCGGATTGCAGCAACCTGTGGCGGCCGCATGCTGCTGTGATGGCGTTCGTGGATGGTTTCATTGCTGCTCACCTTGGGTCGCAATACATGGCGGTGCACCTCAGGAGGTGAGCCGTTTGTTCCTGTTGCATCTGAGAGAGAAGGTGATTCGCTGCTGCCTTGTGGGTTAGATTGCAGGTGGTGGCCACACGCGGCTGTGATGGCGTTCAGGGATGGCTTCACTGCGGCTCACCTTGGGTCGCAGTACATGGAGATGGCCTTGGCTCACCGTGCACCTCAGGAGGTGTTCCATCATCGGCTGGCCTTCATCTCTTTCAAGGAGGCCATCCAGATGCTGTTTCGTTGTCTCAAAGCAGTAACCCCTCGTATCCCCTTCTTCCACCAACCCCCACCCACGCCACTTTCCCTCCCTTCCTACGCAAATTACCCTTTCCAACTCAGGGTTGGCTTCCACAGCCATCTTAATCAGCAGAGCTACAAGCTCCATGATGTCCTCCCCATAGCAGCAGTGCTGTCCCCAAAGCCCCTCCCGTTTCCTCTTGAAATCCCCCCCCAGGGATGACTTTTACGGCCACCTGAAGCAGCAGTGCTACGAGCACCATGTTTACTTTCCTGCCTATCGCTGCTGTGCTTGCTCCCCTCACCCCACCCACCCCCGCTTTTCCCCCCGTTCTCCTCTTAAAACCCAACTCAGGGATGACTTCTACGGCCACCTGAAGAAGCAGAGCTACAAGCGCCACGTGTTCCTCCCTATAGCAGCAGTTGGCACTTTTATTTTGTCCCGCGCCGCTGCCGCTGGGCTGAATACTGTGCTGCTGGCCACTGATGGCACTGCCGCTGAAGTAGACATGTTGACACGCATGATCACAGGTGAGTGGGGGGTTTGTTGGGTGTTCGAGGTTGGTAAGTTCGAGATTGGTAAGTTCACTCAGTATCGGCCTTGAATTTACTTGACAAACACCTGCGCTGCTGCTGGGCTGAATACTGTGCTGCTGGCCACTGACGGCTTTGGTGCAGCTGAAGTAGACATGCCGACACGCATGTTTGCAAGTGAGGGGGTTGATCGGCATGCCATAGCACGTCCTAACTTCCGATCACTGAACACCAGACTGAGTCTCATTTCACCAAGGCTGCTTGCTCCCCCGTTCAATGTCTCTGCTCCCCCTCTTCCGCCCATCACCCTTCCCATCACGTCTTTGAACCCACCGCCACCCCACCCCCCACCCAGCCACCAACGCCACCAGGCTAGTGACCCTTGCACGAGACCTGCGTTGCTTGGAGCGACACGCACAATGAGCCATGATGGCAGGCGCTGCCGCTCGTATTCTCCAACCTCTTGCATTGTCCCCTTCTCCTCCCTTCTTTCACTGTCCACCCAGCTGCCAACGCCACCAGGCTAGTGACCCTGCATGAGAACCGCTTCGCCTGGAGCAACACACACAGCGAGCCGTGGGGGCAGGCACTGCTGGCTTAGGAGAAAAGCATGCCGGAAGGGGGAGGGAGCATGGGTGGGGTAATGTGGGGCCTTCTCTCTCACTACAGGAGCATTCCGTGGCACCTTTTATATTTCCAACTTTCAACGCTCCCTTCCCTTCCCGTCCTCTCCTCCCCCCTCCCCCCCCCCCCCCCCCCCCCCGCATCCCCAAACTCCAGCCACCAACGCCACGAGGCTAGTGACCCTGCACGAGAGCCGCTTCGCCTGGAGCGACACGCACAGCGAGCCGTGGGGCCAGGCGCTGCTGGCTCTGGAGCACAGCATGCCGGAGGGGGGAGGGAAGGGCGTGGTGCGGGCCCTGGCTGAGAAGTACATCTGTGCGCGCGCGCACGTGTTTTATGGCACGGTCTATTCGTCCTTCTCGACAGATATCATCCGGATTCGGGCGGCGGAGGGGATGGCAAACTGCATGGATGGGAAGGTTGGCGAGGAAGGCTAGTAGACTGTGGAGTCAACAGGTTTGCGTATGGTTGGTTGGTCGTTGCTGCGAGTTTTGTATCGAATTCAACACAATGTTCAATCCTGTACATGGCTTTCTTCTTTCCTGTACTTCATTATATGCGGACAAAGAGGAGCTTTAAAATATTGTAAGGGAACATGGAGATCTCGGAGGAACAAGGGAATCAGCTTGAACTTCCCCCCTGCAGCGGCTTCTGGCATCCACGTGTGTGCAATGTGCATGCAAGCATAATCTGCATGCACGAAATGCATTCAGAAGAACGCACGCTGCTGTCGACTGCTGTGCTCAGCGCTTGTGCGGCGCGTCTACTCGTCTGCTGCCTTGCGGTCTTTGTGTGCTGCCCTGTGTCTATTTCTCCGCAGCCTTGCCAACCACCTTGGGCATCTTGTGAGTGCCGGCTGCAGCCACGGGGGGGGGGGAGAGTGGGGCAACAGGGGGGCAGGAGAACATGTGAGAGCCTACTCTTCCGCAGCATTGCCAACCACCTTGAACATCTTGTGAGTGCCGGCTGCAGCCACAGAGGGGGGAGAGTGGGGAAACATGGGGCAGGAGAACATGTGAGAGCGGATTTCTCCGCAGCATTGTCAACCACCTTGGGCATCTTGTGCGTGCCGGCTGCAGCCACAGCGCGGAACAAAGGCAAAGCCAGAGACAGTGGGGAGGGAAGAGAGGGAAAAGGGGGCAGAGGGAAGATGACAGGTTGAGAAGGGAGGAGAGAACAAGGTGCAGTGAAACGGTGAAGTGAAACAGAGAAGTGAAACGATGATGTGGCACCAGCTCGTGGTACACCAAATCCACCCTCCCTTCCCCTCTGTACACATACACACACACATACAGCTCCCGCAACAGAAACTTACAGTCTTCCACGTCCTTGAGCTTGTAGTAGTGCGGAGCAATCTCCACCAGCCATTCTGGCTTGATCTCGATCACTTGCCGCATGAACTCCTTGGACGTGTACACCAGCTCGTGGTACACCACCCACCGCGGCAGCACTTGCGCCAACCCCGAGCTGGGGTGGATGTGCACTGTCTGGGGGTTCTTGACCGTGCGGTACGTGCGGTTCTTTTGTAGTCTTGCTGTGTGGTAGAAGTAGCCTGCAAGCATAAGGGCACAAAGCAGGTTGGGAGGGGAAAACGAAAAGAGAGGGGGAGTGGTTATAAGCTAGCTCGTGGTACACCACCCACCACGCCAGCACCTGTGCCAGCCCCGAGCTGGGGTGTATGTGCACTGTCTGGTTTGGGGGCTCTTGTCGGTCCGGTACGTGCAGTTCTTCTGCAGTCTTGCTGTGTGGTAGAAGCAGGCTGCACGCAAAAGGCGAGGGAAGGGGCAAGGAAGGAGGCAAAGGCCCGACCTGGGGTGAATGTGCACGGTTTGGGGGCTCTTGACCGTGCAGAATGTGCGGTTCTTCTGCAGCCTCGCAGTGTGGTAGAAGTAGGCTGCCCCAGGGGGCAAGATGGGAGGAGGAAGAGCAGAAACAAAGATGGAGCGCTTATGAGGCAGCTCGTGGTACACCTCACCGCCCACCGCGGCCCTGAGCTGGGGTGGATGTGGACGGTGTGGGTCACGGGGCCCCGAGCTGGGTTCTTGACGGTTTGGTTACTTACGGTTCTTCTGCAGGCGTGCAGCGTGCAAGAAGTAGACCGCAAAACGGTGATGGCCGGGAGGGAGGATGCGGAAAATGGGGCAAAAAAGGGGAGCTGTGCGCAAGCTCGTGATACAGTGTGCACTGGCTGGGGGTTCTTGACCGTTTGGTATGTGCGCGTCCATTGAAACCGTGCCGTGTGGTAGAAGTAGCCCCCAAGGAAGGGGCAACAGGGAAGGTCAGACAAGGAGGGGGCAGGGGGAGTTGGGGGGAAGAGGGAAGGAGGGAAGTTGGGCATCTCCATGCAACCATGCTTTCCCGGGACACTAGGCATCTCCATGCAACCATGCTTTCCCAGGACACTAGGCATTTCTGGGAAACTACACTTTCCTGGGACACTACCCTTTGCGGGACACTAGACTTCCCGGGACACTACCCTTCCTCGGGACACTACCCTTCCTCGGGACACTACCCTTCCCCGGGACACTACCCTTCCTCGGGACACTACCCTTCCTCGGGACACTACCCTTCCCCGGGACACTACCCTTCCTCGGGACACTACCCTTCCCCGGGACACTACCCTTCCCCGGGACACTACCCTTCCCCGGGACACTACCCTTCCCCGTGACACTACCCTTCCCCGAGACACTACCCTTCCCCGGGACACTAAGCTTTTCCGGGACCCTAGGTTATTACGAGACACTAGACTTTTCCGGTACACTCCCGTGCATCCCTCCCATCTCAGCGTTTGGCTATAATGCTTACCAGCAGTGATGGCCTTCTTGATAGCCTCCAGGTCGTTGTTGCTGCTGCTCGGCTCGATCTCCACCCGCTCCAGCAGCCCCATGAGCTGGTCCCGCACGTCCCTCGCCATCTTCATGCTGCGGACCTGATCATGCGGAGGGGAGAGGGGGCAAGTGAGGGGAGGGGGGAGTGTGGAGTAGAGTGGGGGTAGGGGCGACAGAAGAAGCAGCCCCATGAGCTGGTCCCATGCGTCCCTTGCCATCTTCATGCTTCGCACCTAAGGGGCGAGGAGGGGAGAGAGGAGGGCGGAGGGAGAGGGAAGAGTAGTGAGATGGAAGTACATTGTAGCTTCCATCCAACAGCAGCGCCATGAGCTGGTCCCTCACGTCTTGCACCTGATAAGGAAAGAGGAGAGGAGAGAGGGGGAGGCAGGGTGAGGAGGGAGGGCGGGGGAGGGAGGAAGGAGAGGAGAGGATAGTGTGGTGCACACTCGAAGGAGAATAGGGGAGGGAAGAAGCATGGAGACCGGCGACATCACGTTGGGTACCCTAGACAGAATCGTGTCGTCCAACAGTAACTGAACGTGATCGTCACCTGAATGTAGTTCTCATTGCAAAACTGAGAGGAGAAGGACGTCTTGGCCCACTCCTCGTACACCCGCAGCAGCGCCACACGTTCGCCCACATTGCCGGTGTGGAAGTTGACTTTTGAGTCGACTCAAAAGTCAGCTCGCTCGCCCACATTGCCAGTGTGGAAGTTCATACATGTGTGCACCTGCTTGCCCTCCCTGCATCTACAGGATAACTTTTGATTCGACTCAAAAGTTGTCAACGTGGACCTGCACACCCCTACCTGTATACCCTACTTGCATGTGACCCTTGAAAAAAACACCTGCATGCAGGCTTACTTGAATATAGTTCTCATAGCAGAATTGAGAGGAGAAGCTGGTTTCCGCCCACTGCTCGTACACCCGCAGCAGTGCAACATGGTCGCCCACGTTCCCCGTGTGGAAATTCATCCTTGCGTTGTCGGCGTGCACCTGCTTGTCCTTGGGGCGGTAGAAGATGGCATTGCCCACCGATAGCATGGCGCAGATTGTGGCCGCCTCCTCAGAGCAGCTGAAAGGGAACATGGAGGTAGACAGGGGAATGGGGGGGAAGGGAAACCGAGTTCATCCTTGCGTTGTGGGCGAGCACCTGCTTGCACTTGGATGGTAGAAGATGGCTTTTGAGAATTTCCCACCAACAGCATGGCGCATATAGTGGCTGCCTGGGGGGATGCATAGGGGGGGATGCATAGGGGGGGATGCATAGGGGGGGGATGCATAGGGGGGGGATGCATAGGGGGGGGATGCATAGGGGGGGGATGCGTAGAAGGGGGATGCATAGGGAGGGATGCATAGGGGGGGGATGCATAGGAGGGGGATGCATAGGGGGGGATGCATAGGGGGGGGTTGCATAGGGGGGGAATGCATAGGGGGGGGATGCATAGGGGGGGATGCATAGGGGGGGGATGCATAGGGGGGGGATGCATGGGGGGGATGGATAGGGGGGGGGGGGATGTATAGGGGGGGATGCATGGGGGGGGATGCATACGGGGGAGATGCATAGGGGGGGGGGGTGCATAGGGGGAGATGCATGGGGGGCGATGCACAGGGGGGGATGCGTCGGGGGGGGATGCGTAGAGGGGGGATGCATAGGGGGGGGATGCGTAGGGTAGGGGGGGGGGTGCATTGGGGGGGATGCATAGGTGGGGAAATGCGTGGGGGGGATGCGTGGGGGGGATGCATAGGGGGGGGATGAGGGTGGCTAGAGGTATTCGGGGGTCGAAGCCCACCCCCCAAGAGAGAGTAAACAGGGAGGGGAGGCGGTGGGGGGGAGTGAGTAAATGAGAGGGGGAGAGATCGCGCGGTTGAGTGATCGGGCGGTTGAGTGGTCGGGCAGGACATGAGGGCTGGATAGGAGGGCATGGGAAATGAAGGCATGGGGTATGTGGGCATGGGATATGAGGGCAAGGGATATGAGAGCACGGGGATCAAAGTGGATGGCTCCATGTGGTGGTGCGAGGGGATCAAAGCAGAGCCAATCAGGCTAGCATGCTGCCTCTTCCCACTCACTGCCTGCGCTGCCACTGCCCACTCTTTCCCTGCGCTGCCTCTTCCCATTTGCCACCTGAGCTGCCTCGTCAATGACCACCACATCCAAGGGGCGTGACATACGGGAGGGAGAAGACCCCTGACCCTGCGAATGCTAGCGTGGAACACAACACACCATGACCCTGCCGTGCTGCCGTGCAAACCCCTTCCCCAAGAAAATTAGGACAGCCGCTTTCAACCCAACTTGGAAAGAAATGAGCAAAAGTGGGGGAAATAAAGGCCCAAAGAAAGGCACACTCACAGGTATTCATCCGAAGCCACCAGCATTTGAGTCGACTCAAAAACCAAAGAAAGGCACACTCACAGGTATTTATCCGAAGCCACCAGCATTTGAGTCGACTCAAAAACCAAAGAAAGGCACACTCACAGGTATTCATCCGAAGCCACCAGCAGTTTCATTTTGAGTCGACTCAAAATACAAAAGGCCCAAAGAAAGGCACACTCACAGGTATTTATCCGAAGCCACCAGCAGTTTCGACATCTGAGGGTCCAGCGGAAACTCGGCCATCTTCCTCCCCAGCTTCGTGAGCTCCCCTCTGTCGTTCAGCGCCCCCAGCGCATACAGCATCTCCAGCGCCCTCAGCAGCGTTTCAGCCGGGGGTGGATCCATAAAGTCAAAGTTCAGCAGGTCGTTAATCCCAAGGGACTTCAGCATCAGCACGACATTCCCAAGGTTGGTTCTCTGGATCTCGGGCACTGTGTTGTCCTCCAGCTCGTTGGCATACGACCACGCGGTGTACAGCCGGAAGCATTTCCCAGGGGACGTTCTCCCGGCGCGCCCCGCCCGTTGATTCGCCTGCGCTTTCGAGACCGGAGTGACTATGAGAGACTCCATGCCCGTGCGGGGGTTGTAGCTCTTCTGCTTCACGAACCCTGGATCGATGACATACTTGATCCCATCAATGGTTAGTGAGGTTTCCGCAATGTTTGTCGCCAGCACCACCTTCCGGGCTCCCTCTGGCGTTTTTTCGAAAATCTTCGCCTGCATGTCGGTGGGCAGGTTGGCGTAAATCGGGCAGATGATCATTTCTGCGATTTTCGTGCCCAGCCCCTTGGTTCTGTGCCTCAGAATCTCCTCTGCGGCTTCGATCTCCTCCTGCCCCGTCAGAAACACCAGCACGTCCCCAGCCGGCTGCGTTACATGGATCTGTAACACGGTTACCACCGCAGCGTCCAAATAATCCGCCTCCGGCGCCTTGGTGTAGTGAATATCCACCGGATACCGCCTCCCAGGGATCCGGAAAATCGGCGCGAAGTCAAAATACTCACTAAACTTCTCAGCGTCCAGCGTGGCGCTCGATATAAGCAGCTTCAGGTCCGGCCTAAACCGCGCAATGTCCTTCACAAGCCCAAACAGCACATCAGTATGTAAGGTCCGCTCGTGAGCCTCATCCACCATCATGACCGAGTAGCTGGCGAGGTCGGGCTCGCTGAGAAATTCTCGCAGCAGCATGCCGTCGGTCATGTACTTGAGCACCGTCTTGTCGGACGTGCAGTCTTCGAAACGGATCGAGTACCCCACCTCGTGCCCCAGCTTGCACCCCACCTCCTGGGCCACGCGCGCCGCCACGCTCATTGCCGCTACTCTGCGGGGCTGCGTGCACCCGATCTGGTAGGGGTGCGGAGTGTGGGGGGGGGAGATGGGGGGGATAGGGGAGAGGGAGGTTGTGTGTTTATACCCACCTCGTGCCCCAGCTTGCACCCCACCTCCTGGGCTACTCGTGCTGCTACTAGCCTTGGCTGGGTGCACCCGATCTGGTAGGGGTGCAGAGTGTGAGGGGGGGAGAGGGGAGGGATAGGTGGGAGGGAGGATGTGTGAGTACCCCACCTCGTGCCCCAGCTTGCACCCCACCTCCTGGGCTACTCGTGCTGCTACTAGCCTTGGCTGGGTGCACCCGATCTGGTAGGGGTGCAGAGTGTGAGGGGGGGAGAGGGGAGGGATAGGTGGGAGGGAGGATGTGTGAGTACCCCACCTCGTGCCCCAGCTTGCACCCCACCTCCTGAGCTACGCGGACTGCCGAGCTCATTGCCGCTACTCTGCGGGGCTGCGTGCACCCGATCTGGTAGGGGTGCGGAGTGAGGGGGGAGAGATGGGGGAGATAGGGGGGGAGAGGTTGAGTGTTTGTACCCCATTTCGTGCCCCAGCTTGCACCCCACCTCCTGAGCTACACGTGCTGCCACGCTCATTGCTGCTACTCTGCGGGGCTGGGTGCACCCGATCTGGTAGGGGTGCGGAGTGGGGGGGCAGGAAGAAGGAGGGTGAGAACGAGTAGGGAGGGGAAGAAGAGAGCGGGTGTGAGATGTGCCAATCCCCGAAACACCCACGGAAGCCACTCATGGCAGCGGCTCAATCACGCCAGCCATCCAACCTTCCCCTCACCTTGCCTTTCCCTGCGCATCCCTCACCTTGCCTTTCCCTGCACATCCCTCACCTTGCCTTTCCCTGCGCATCCCTCACCTTGCCTTTCCCTGCGCATCCCTCACCTTGCCATTCCCTGTGCATCCCTCACCTTGCCTCGCTTGCCGTAGTCCTCCTCGTACAAGTACTGTGGGATCTGAGTCGTCTTGCCAGACCCCGTCTCTCCTACAATCACCAGCACCTGCAGTCACGCACAGGAAGGAGCGGAAGGGTTCGCATCGCACATAAAGTGGATCAGTGACAGCGCTCTCAGGACGTTTCAAGAACTGTATACAGAGTTACAGCTTCACAGCGAGACACGACAATGCACCCACCAACCACCTTAGCAAGTTAGCACCCCAACAACAGTCGCAACCATCAAACAAAATATAATACTACTACTGCAGTACCTGGTGGTCCCGATGGCTGCAGCAGTGCCTGGTGGTCCCGATGGCCTGCAGCAGTGCCTGGTGGTCCCGATGGCCTGCAGCAGTGCCTGGTGATCCCGACGACCTGCAGCAGTGCCTGGTGGTCTGATGCGCCTCACAGCCAGCAGCACCCACCTGGTGGTCGTGGATGGCTTGCAGCAGCTCCTCTCTGTAGCGGTACATGGGCAGGTTCTTCCGCTCTTGAGGCACTCTGCTTGGCTACAGCACCTGGGTCCTGGTGCTCTCAAGAGCAGAAGTACCTCTCAGGCGCTTCAAAACCAGCAGTGCCTACCTGGTGGTCGTTGATGGCTTGCAGCAGCTCCTCCCAGTAGCGGTACATGGGCAGGTTCTTCCGGTCTTGAGGCGCCTACCTGTCAAGGCTACAGTGCCTGGTGGTGTCTGAGGCCCCTCACAGCCAGCAGCACCCACCTGGTGGTCGTTAATCGCTTGCAGCAGCTCCTCCCCATAGCGGTACATGGGCAGGTTCGTCTGCTCTTGAGGCACTCTCTTTGGTTGCAGCATCTGGGTCGTGGGGTTCTCAAGAGCGGAAGACCCTTTCAGGCGCTTCACAGCCAGCAGCACATACCTGGTGGTCGTTAATTGCTTGCAGCAGCTCCTCCCTATAGCGGTACATGGGCAGGTTCTTCCTCTCCACCTGTATCTTGTCAAACGCTGACTTGGCCTTTGACACCTCTGCTTGTCGCTCCCTCTCCTCCTCGTCCTCTGACTCCTCCTGCACCCCACCACATCGCACCGCACCGCACCAAACAACAGCACAATCAGCCAACGCCACATATAAAAGCCGCATACATGAAAAACCAGTGAGGCTAGCACACACACTGTATGTCATTGCCAGCCACAATGGTGTTCACTCACCCTGTCACTGCAAGCTATCCTGGGGTACTCACCCTGTCACTGCAAGCTATCCTGGGGTACTCACCCTGTCACTGCAAGCTATCCTGGGGTACTCACCCGGTCATCGCCCGCCATGATGGTATCTTTGATGAAGTCGATCTGATCCTCAAACACATACTCGTACTGGTCTGCCTCCACCTTGCGGTCCTTGGACCCAAAATTCACCGTCGCCTTGCCTGCCACACGGGAGAAGGCACGTGGAGCGGGGTGTGAAGTGAAGTGGGAAGTATGGCCCATTGTGTGGCTCCTCGCACTGTCGATCTTATCCTCACACTGTCGATATTATCCTCACACACATGCTCGTACTAGTCAGCTTCCACCTTGCGGTCCTTGGACCCAAAGCTCACAGTCACCTTCTCTGCCACACACACAAATATAGCCCATGAAGGGTGAGGGACTGTGTGTGCCACACACACAAATATAGCCCATGAAGGGTGAGGGACTGTGTGTGCCACACACACAAATATAGCCCATGAAGGGTGAGGGACTGTGTGTGCCACACACACAAATACTGATGCGCATGAAGGGTGAGGGATACATGGATGCAACATGATCTATCCATGTTCTATTCTATCCATGTATCCCCCACCCTTCATGTACGTTGTACATAGTAACAGCTATACTACGGGGGATGCATGCTATACCCCATACCCTAAACACAGTGGCGTACATTCCTTACCTACTTGGTGCGTTTCCCACTGCCCTACCTATTTGGTGTTTCTCCCACGCCTCCTGCTCTGCACGTGGTGTGACTTTGTCGTCTCCTTCCACGTCCCTGACCACACAATGGAGGAAGGGAAAAGGGACACAGGTTGAACTGCATTTGGATCCTGGTCCTTATAAAGAGAGCAGAGTGTTTTGTGGCGTACACGTCTCGTCACTCTCCACATCCCTCACACTCACTCACACCCCTCACACTCACTGACACCCCTCACACTCACTGACACCCCTCACACTCACTCACACCCCTCACACTCACTCACACCCCTCACACTCACTCACACCCCTCACACTCACCCACGCCCCTCACACTCACCCACACCCCTCACACTCACACTCACCCACACCCACACACTCACTGGTATCGCTTCATCGCTACAGCAAACCGCTTGTCCTGCTGCACCTTCTCCTCCTTGTCGTACGCCTCTGGCAGGTGGTACTGCAAGCAAGGAAGACGAGGAGGGACGGCAGAGGGCAATCGACAGTCATGTTTGTGACTGAACTTCTCAGCAAACCGCTTGTCCTGCTGCACCTTCTCCTCCTTGTCAGGTGGTACTACCGTGAGGGGGGCGGGAAGGGGGGTAGCGGTGAGGGAAGGAAGAGGGCAATACGCAGCAGTGATGCATTCCTCCCTAGGTCAATCTCTTGCCCTGCTGCAACTTCTCCTCCTTGTCATATGCCTCTGGCCGGTTGTACTGCCGTTGCAGGGAGGTTGGACGGTGAGTGAGTACCATCAGTCAGCTTGTCACGAGGATAGGCTCAATCATGGTGGCACAGAGCTGACACGGCGGATGACAACTCAAAGGCTGACACAGCTCAAAGGAGTTCTCACCTCGAGCACCTTGCCCACGTCCTCCACTTGCTTCTTGGCCAGCCCCAGAACCTTTCGCCTGTACACGTGTGTGCGATGATGTACGTGCCCCTCCCCACATAAGAGATGCATGGTGCATATGCATGCGAGAACAACTCACCTCCAGCACCTTCTCCACGTCCTCCACTAGCTTCATCGCCCCAGCCCCAGCCCCTTGCGCTTGTATGTACTGATGCATGCGAGCCTACCCACACTAATGACGCAGCCTGGTGCACAAGTATGTGATGGCACATGTGACGATACTCACAACAGTCGAGCAGGCAGAGTTCTCACCTCCGGCACCTTCCCCACGTCCTCCACTTGCTTCTTCGCCAGCCCCAGCGCTTTGCGCTTGTATGTGAGGATGCATGCGATGGCAAATGTGATGGTTCTCACAACAGTCGAGCAAGCAAAGGTGTTCTCACCTCGAGCACCTTGCCCACGTCCTCCACTTGCTTCTTGGCCAGCCCCAGCACCTTGTGCTTGTACCGCTGCTCCGCCTGCTCCCTCTCCGTCAGCTTCACGTCCGAAAACAGGTACTCCTCGTCCACCAACTCGTCCCTGCGGTACAGTCACGTCATAGACAAGCACAGACGAGACGAGTATGTGAAATGCGTTACTGCCAGATATGCGTCTGCAAGCAAATACTCCTCGTCCACCAGCTGGTCCCTGTGACGCAGATCCGTTGCAGACAGGCCCAAAACAGACAACAGTGTCACAAAAATAAGTGTCATAAGTTGCATGCACTCAAGCCTGCGGTGGTTCGAGCTATAGGAAGGCGAGAAACAGCACAACGAAACACTTACTCTAGTTCCTGGAGCTTCTTGGCTTCTCGCTTTGAAAGGTACTCCTGGCGGGAGATTTCCCTTAGGCTGGGCATGAGTTCCCGCTGCTGCTCCGCCTCCTGCCTCCTCCTCAACGCCTCTGATCAGTGGTGCACGCATGGCATAGTATGGTGTGGTGTGGCATGGCATTACGTGGCATGTATGGCATGGTGTGGCATAGCATTACGTGGCAAGTATGGCATGGTGTGGCATAGCATTACGTGTGGCATGTATGGCATGGTGTGGCATAGCATTACGGGGCATGTATGGCATGGTGTGATATGCAAGCGGAGGGAAGGAGGCACGGAGATGGAAGAGCAGCCAGGGGAAGTGATGGCGTGAGAATGAAGGGAGTGATGATGTGAGAATGAAGGGAAGGGGGGTGGAGACGTGACAGAACGCCAGGCCAACATGCAGAAAGGAGTCTGAAGGCAGAAATGTGACCAACACAAGGTGTGGGGGGGTAATGAGGAGGCAGAGCAGGGGGGTCGGCAGAGCAGCATGGCTGCATGGCACACATGCCACGTCACATGTGACGTGTGCCAGATGGCGTGTGGATGGTGAGGCGGGGAGCGAGACAGGTGGAGTAAAACGTGACTAACCTTCTTCCTTCTTGGAGAGCTTGGGCTCCAGCTTCTGCGCACAGGAAGGATGGGATGTGGAGGGGAGAGTGAGGAAGAGGGCGGAAGATGAGCTTTTTTTAGGCGCCTCAAGAATCAGCTTCTGCAAACAGGAAGGACGGGATGTGGAGGGGAGAGTGAGGAAGAGGGCGGAGGATGAGCGAAGATTGGGGCGGGGGAAAGCAGAGATGAAGAGGACTGAAGGTAGACGAGGGGGGGGAGAAGAGAGGTGAGGGGGGCTGAGGGGCGGAGAAAGGGGGTGGAGAGGAGGTGACGTGGGGGGATGGCAAGAACAAAGGCAGCGCGAGTTTGTCAGGAGTAAGGAAGAAGGGATTTTCCCCACCTTGGTTTTCTCCTCGTCGCGCTGCTTGAGCCGCTCCTCAAACTCCTCCCTCTCCAGTTGGTCCCGCTCCCTCTCCGCCTCCCTCTGCCGCTCCAATGCCGCCTGCCAGCACGCAGCACGCAGCAGACAGCAGGCATGAATCAAGTCAGTCTCCTTTCCAACCGCAATTTTGGCAGCTATGCAAAGGAACAATGCCTTCTGACAAAAGGAAACAGGTGCTTGGAACAGGGGGTTCATAATTGCTTCCTTCACAGAAACCACAAGCACAACTCACCTCCGTAACCTTCCTCTTGCACCCTTCTTCCGCCTCAAACCTCCTATTCATCCATGGCCTACCTCTTCATCCTCCTCCTCCTCTCCTTTCCTCCGTCCACTCCTGTGCTCGCTCTGCCTGCCCCTCTTGCGCTGATACTCCGCCAGAGCCTGAGGGGAGGGAGAGAGGGCAAAAACGGGGGAATAGAATAGTTTGTCCTGCATAAAAGCGTCTCAAGAATCGGAACTTCCTGCTTCTCTTGCCCTGATACTCCGCCGGAGTCTGAGGGGAGGAGGAAGGTAAGGAAGGGGGTGCAAGGCGCTAAACCCCCTTATAAGCTGCTCCAAGCATGGACTCCGTTGAAGTAAGGAAGGGGGTGCGAGGTGCAGAGTTTCAGTAGGCAATTCCCAACCTGAGCAGTGGTCTCATTTCTGACCTGAGCAGTGGCGTCATCATCATCGTCAGCACCTTCCAGCTCCTCCCTCCTCCGCCTCAACTGCTTCCTCTTCTTCCCCTCCCCCTCCTCTGCCCCCCCCTGCCCATCCCTTTCCCTCTCCTGTCCCTTCCTCTCCTTCTCCTCCCTCTCCCTCTCTCTCTCTCGCTCCCTCTCCCTCTCCTCCTCCTCCTCGTCATCGTCGGCGTCTAGAAGAGCGTACTGCTGCTGCCGCCGGGCAAATTCCGCCGCTGCTTTCTCCTCAGTCTTGTACGACTGGAAAGGGTTGCACAAGGGAGGAAAACAGGGTGTCAGTGAAAGGGAGAGGGAAGGGAGAGGGAAGGGAGAGTGGGTTACACACAGAGGGGATGAGAACCTTTGCTACCCTTTTACTACCCCTGGGTCCATAGAAGAGCATGCTTCTCCCGAAACGCAAATCCGCGTGCTACTGTGAAAGTGCACCCATGCGTTACACTAACGAAGATGCCACACTGAAAGCGACTCCACGCGCTACCGTGTAGCAGAAGTCAAACGTTTCTTGAACCTACGTGCTTCTTGAATCTACCATCTTGAACCTACGTGCTTCTTGAATCTACCATCTTGAACCGAGCAAAGACCTACTGAAGGGCCTTTCTTGGCGCTCGGTATTCTCGAGGCCAGCTGGCCGGCGAAGGCTGACGTGGCAGGCGACGCTGGAAGGCCATTGGACGAGAGGCTGGATGTGAGAGCGCTCACGCTGGACGCTCGCTTGGCTGCGGAGACGACACGTGGCACGAAAGAGACAGGAAGGTAAGATGGAGAACTAAGGAGACAGGCAAGGCTTCGTAGTCTGACTAATTTCAGCTAAGAGGCATGTTCGAAACGGGAAAGCTGGAATAGAACACCGGCAACTGATTGTCCGCTTGAACCGAGTCGCGAGTCGCGACTCCTTCTACACGGTCTACAGATCATATCAGATTCACTATATTCTATCAAATTCTTTCGAATACGATCAGATTCACTATGAGCGACGCACCTAGCGCGATGACGAACGTAACGAGGCTGGACTCGGAGTAGCCGAGTATCTGATACAGCTGATCCGACACCCACGTCTTTAACTCCCTCTCGTCCGCCATTCCTCGATATTGTCGCTGCGGAACGTCTTTCTCGGGAGAACCGTTATGACAGTGGTGAGAAGGAAGCCTGTTACAGCATCTAAACGGCCTCAGCAGAGGAATGTGTGACGTGATGGTATCCTGAGAACCATGCCAGCCTAGAAGTGAAGGTAGGCTTGACGTTCAGGGCAGCAGCAAACTCTCTCACAGAAGCAAATCTCGTAAATCCTCGATATTCCCGAGCTCGCTTTCCGAGCTCGTTTTGTGTCATGTGTACACAAACGCATTTGTACAGTGTCTGAAAGATATTTTGAAGTTTGAACCCCAATCAAGCCATTCAATTCCCAAGGTTTCCATAGAACCCTAAGCTTGCGCCCCGTACAAATCCATACTCACACTGCATCCTCCCTGGAGCAAGTCTAGGAATAAAGCACTCCTACAGTAAGCTCTCTTTTCTGATCATCACCCCTCCTCTGCTGTTAGCCGCTAGGGTTTGCCATTGAATCCCTTATCGTGCGAAACGGCGGCGTAGCTTTGAGGCATTGGCCCGCAGAAAGTAGTTGCTTTCTATCCCCTCGACTTTTGATTTCGTATCCGCGTTTTTTTTCGCTTCGCTGCCTGAGGAGTCAGTAGGCATGGCAGACGCGTCAGCGCAGATCGACGAGTCGCTACAGCAGTTGACGGCGATCCAAGAGGAACTAGAAAAGGTGAAAAGCACGTTAAGATTCGACGGATTCCGTCATTACGCTGACGCATTGACGACAGCATTGAAGCACGTGAAGTTGCCTGGTCAGAACATTTAAAGCATGGCCAGAACTTTTAGGCTGTTTCCGAGCCTGCTCTCCGCCTCAGAAGATGTTTAGACATCGACGTAGCCGTTTTCAACGCAGCTAAGGCCATACACCCAGTCCATTATCCCCACCGTTCGTTCTCTCGTGGCTCATTTTCTCCCGATCGTTCTCTCTGGCCCGTCTAACCTTGGAGAGAAATAGGTCAATGAGGAGGCGAGCGACAAGGTGTTGGAGGTGGAGCAGAAGTACAACAAGCTACGGCGGCCGATATACGAGCGACGCCAGCAACTAGTCTCGCAAGTCAACGACTTCTGGACCACGGTGGTGAGCTGCGCTTTCGTCAGTCCTTTTTTTAACCTTTCTTCCAGTTGCTCCATTGTGTGTGCAGCGCCCCTTTCACATTTTTCAGCTTCTACGTTTTGTTGTTCCTTTCCGCTCATGTCATTTCTGGTGTTTATTTATTCATTTATACTTTTTCTCTTTTCTTCGCAGCTCCTCAATCACAATCTTCTTCACGCGTTTTTCACTGACGAGGACAGACAGGTGACGAGATAAATGAGGTGGAAGAGGGTTTACTGAACACCATACCATGCCTGTTACTAAAGCCTGATTAGCGCTGCATATTAGCTGATAACATACAGTGTCCGCATTTTTGTTTGCTGGAGTCAATGATTTAAGTTTCTAGCCGTTGATTTCCCCCTTTTCGTTAGATCCGTTGTTTCACCCTGCCCCATTCACTACGGCATCCTGTTGCTCCACCCTCCCACCCCCTCACTCCTACGCTTGGACCCACTCAGGTGTTGGAGTATCTGCGGGGCTTAGATGTGGAGGATTATAAAGACATCAAGTCGGGCTACAGCATCACCTTTGTACGTCCCTAATCCCCTGGTTTTCCCCATGCGTTCCTCATCCTCCTCCCAGCCGGCCGTTGTTGCCCTCGCTTCATCTGCCTCTTCTCATACATTTTACGTACTGCATGCAAAGACTTCAATTGTCAGAAGCTTGGTATGGTGTGCCTGAATGAAACCCTGAACCTCGTCCAGGTGAATCCAGGTGAATCCAGGGGAATCCAGGTACTCTTCCTCCGCGCCTTGCTGCTCACCTAGCGTCTCAGTTCCTCACCTTGCCTTGCATTTGCCCGAACCCCGGTTCTGACTTTCAGACATTCGCTGAGAATCCGTATTTCTCGAATAAGGAGCTGACTAAGAGCTTCAAGTACACCGAGGAGGGCACAGCTAACGTGGAGGCGACCAAGATCGAGTGGAAGGAAGGCATGGTGAGATGAGTGAGATGAGTGAGATGAGTGAGATGAGGGAGATGAGTGAGATGAGGGAGATGAGTGAGATGAGTGAGATGAGTCAGATGAGGGAGATGAGTGAGATGAGTGAGATGAGGGAGATGAGTGAGATGAGTGAGATGAGGGAGATGAGTGAGATGAGTTAGATGAGTGAGATGAGGGAGATGAGTGAGATGAGTGAGATGAGTGAGATGAGTGAGATGAGGGAGATGAGGGAGATGAGGGAGATGAGGGAGATGAGGGAGATGAGTGAGATGAGTGAGATGAGGGAGATGAGGGAGATGAGGGAGATGAGTGAGATGAGTGAGATGAGTGAGATGAGTGAGATGAGGGCCATGCATGCAGTCTCGCCATGGGTGCTGCATCGGTCCACTCTCCTTGCCCTCTCCCTCCCCTCCCCCCCCTTCTTAAACCCCCACTCACCCCTCCATGCATTCATCTGCCTCTCCCTCGTTCTAAGTCTGCTGACCCCTCGCCCCTCCCTCCCATCTGCCTTCCCCTGGCCGCTCTGCCTTCCCTAGGATCTGACGGCGCCAAAGCCGAAGCAGGAGAAGCCGGGCAAGAAGAGACAACTGGAGGAGGAGGAGAGGTGAGGTCATTTACCTGTACCTCGCTGCAATACCTGCTGGCACCCTCCCCGCCCTCCCCGCCCCCCCGGTCCCTCCCGCCCACTGCCCGCTGCACACACACATACCCTCCCCCTTCCTTCCCATTTTCCCTCTTCCAGTGTCCCGTCCGTCTCGTCCTACCCCTGACCCTGACCCCTGACCTTGACCCCTGACCCTGACCCCTGACCCTGACCCCTGACCCCTGACCCTGACCCCTGACCCCTGACCCCTGACCCCTGACACCTGGCCGTCCCTTAAAGCCAGGGACCCAAGTTTCTAGAACCCGGGGCAAGTGTTTTACAGTTGGTTGGGAAAAACCAGGTTTTGTGTCGAGAGGGTGCGTGAATTGCAACACTCGCAGGCGATTTCACTGGTGCCTACAGCTCGCCGGCCAATCATTTGTTCTAGTCCCAACCAACTGTTTTACAGTTGGTAAACTTGGGCCCCTGGCTTTAAACCGCTACCACCCTAGCTCTTTTTTTCTCTGTTCCACCATTCTGCCGGTATTTCAAGAATCTTCCGCTTGAACCCCTTTCTCATCCGCTGCCCCGCCAGCTTTTTCAAGTGGTTTGAAGTCGATGAGGCGGCGCAGGGCACCACGGGACCAGATGATGTGAGTGGGAATGGGGGGTGCGGAAGAGGTATAGGGAAAGATGGGTGGCAAAGGCGTGGCAAAGGGGGGCTGCTGGGTGGGGTGATGTGGGGAAGAGGTTGACAGGGGGACTTCAGGGGTAGAAGCACTTGCGGACGGACACAGCACACAAATTCATCCACTCGTATTGTTCCCCCATCCCACTTCCTTGCAGGTAGCAGGCTGATAAAGGACGGTGTGTGGCCCGACCAGCCCCCTACAGCTCTTAGCATCCGATTGCCCTGATACCCACCCCTTCCCCTCTCCCCTTTCCCCCCATCCCTTCCCTATCTCTGACAGGTAGCGGAGCTGATAAAGAACGATGTGTGGCCCAACCCTCTACAACTCGTAGCATCCAGTTGTCCTGCTCTCCCCACCCTGTCTCCCCCCCCTCTACCCCCCTCTCCCCTCCTCTCCCCCCTCTCCCCCCCTCTCCCCCCCTCTCCCCTCCCGTCCTGTATCCCATGGCAGGTGGCGGAGCTGATAAAGGACGACGTGTGGCCCAACCCTCTACAGCACTACCTGCAGGTGGGATGGGGGGCGGGTGAATGGGAGGGGAAGTGCGGTGAGTGAGCAGGGAAGTGGGTTGAGCGCAGAGGGAAATTTTTAATGCGTTGCATGGGTTTGCAGAAGAGATTGGTGTGCATTGGTGGGTTTGCACGATGAGCTGCGAAGCGATGAACTCACAGGGGCGATGCTGCTTCCGTGTGCTAGCTACCAGCACTCTCTTGGTACGTGTTAGCTCATCCCCCTGTGTCTGCTCCCTGGCCATGGCGTTGCAGGAGGAGGAGGGGTTCGAGGGAGATGAGGATGAGGATGAGGAGGGGGAGGAAGGGGAGGAGGGGGAGGAGGACGATGATGAAGATGGCAATGGGGAAGAGGTGAGCCACCAATTTGGAGACAGCTTCTGATTCTTTAGGAGAACTTTCTAAGGTATGAAGGCTCTCAAGGCTCGTAAGGTGCGGCATTAGAGGTGGGACATAGCAGCAGTTTTATGGCCCTCCGTGAGGTGCATTATTCAACTGCACATGGAGGTGGGGGTGAGTGATTAGTACGCTCGTTTTTCTCCCCATTCACAGTGCGAGTGCACTGTGTTGTAGTGTGTGCGAAGCCCGTTCCGTGAAGCCTGTTCCGTGCAGGTTTGCAGCACCGCCATCGCCATCTCACCTTGCACCGCCATCTCACCTTGCACTTGCACTGCCTCTCGCTGCTTGTCCGCTGCAGGAAGCTGAGGAAGACGAAGGTTGAGCTCCTCAGAATTATGGTTTCCAGCTTGACTAGTATCGGGCAGGGGTCAGGTCAGGACTGGACAGAAATGGGAAGGGCCTCCCTCACCCCTTTTTAGTTGGTGGAATGGGCACGCAGGAGGCCCATGGATGGACAAAGTCACGAAGCATGTACACCATGGTGCATTCAGATCTGTTTAGGAGGTGCTAAACCGGCAAGTGAGTAAGTGTTTTGCCCCGTACTCTATGTGGATACTTGTAAAACTACAAGCTCATGTTATTGTACTAACCCATGTGACTATGCATGGCGTTGAGGCAGCCCCAGCGAACAGGCAGCAATGAAGAGAGGCAAGTCATACAGGGTGTAGTCAGCCACATGCAAGGAAAAAAGCTTGCTCTCTGTACATCGATGCTTCTAACCTCAACACATGCCTATACCTTTGACCATCAACCCCTGCTACATCTAATTGTACTGGTACTTCCATGTCAACCTTAGCTCCTGCAAACCAAGCTATTGGAGGTATGCATGCAAGACTGTCCAGTGTCCACCCTACCAGTTCTTCCATACCCCCCATCCCAGGGGAACCTTGGCAAACTGCCCCCCCCCCTAGCAAT